CTTCCAGTACTTGAGAGAAGCTTATAAACAGGAAGGAGACCAACTTTTTAAATGGCGCGTTAATGATAGGACAAAGGTGAATGGCTTTAAACTAAAAGAGAGGAGATTTAGTTTACATGTTAAGGGAAATTATTTACTCAGAGAGTAGTGAGGCATTGGCACAGGCTACCCAGAGAAGCTGTGGGTGCCCTATCTCTGGGAACATCCAAGGCCAGGTTGAATGAGGCCCTGTACATCCATATATATTGGATGGCAGCCCTGCCCAGGGCTGGGGGATTGGAACTGGGTGGTCTATAAGATCACTTCTAACCTCAGCCATTCTATGATATGTAATACAGTTTCTATAAAGATTTTTTTATCAGGACCAGGAAAGCAAATCAGAAGCTATGAAAGCTGTACATGCAGTTTGGCCACAAACTTGTTCCTCCACTAATCTGCACAAAGCAGTAAACTCCTGTACATGAGTATTTAAAAAGGTGGGGGAAGGCTGAAACCACTTTGTGTTTGCAGCTTGAGGACGAACCTCATGCCAGAAGATAAAATCACAGGCTCCAGGATTCCCCTCCTCTTGCTCTCCTGCAGCAGGAAGCGCTGGAGATTACTTACAACAAAAGTCACATCCACTGTGTTCCTGGTGGTTTTTAAGATCTTTAAGTCATTACTTATATTTCTTGCTCATTTAAAATTTGATTCTGGAAGAAGTTCTGTCTCAGAAAAAGGCAGAGAGGCTGGACTTGGTAAAACAGGAAGCCCTTTTCAATTCTACAGTCTCATGTCAGACATACTTAAAAATTGATAGGAGTTAACCATCTCACTGCCAGTAAACTGACTGCATTTGACTCTACTAGAGAGCAACGTTAGCACCTCTATAATGCTGAATTCTACTGTCAATAAAGATTACGACTGATTTCCGCCCATTCTTCTGCTTATTTGCACATTTTAAACGTAATGCCGCAATATAAATGATAATAAAATTACACTCCTAAATAGAAAGATTTCCCACAGATAAAATAAAAAACAATAAGAGTCAAACAAATGCATATTTTCAATCTTATGTGGTCACTTTACACAGAAAAAAAAAAACAAGATATCACATTTTTACTTTTAATCAGATAGCAAAACACTGAAATATTTAACGCTTCTATGTTCTTTTAACTAGGTATTTATAGCGAAAGCACTGGACACAGTTTCAAACATTTTTATTGGCCTTAATTTACAGAAGAAAAAGAATCAAAACAATGTTGCTGGAAGTCCATCCATAAGGAATGCTAAGCTCATCAACTCTTTGAAAAAAGTATTGAGAAACGGCCAAGTTATTTAACTTCACAAAACAGCTGCTTAAATTCACAATACTCTGTACCACTAATGCTATGAATGTCTCACATAAGCTCAAAATACTTTCATTTAGGTTAAAACGATGTCATTCACAGAAACAGCTCTGAAAAGAATGCTGTCAAAAAGCTTTTGAGACGCCTCAAACTCAGCTCTGAAGAATACACCTTGATTTCAGTTTTAATCTAATCCAAACCACCAGAAATGTTCCATTAACTACCAATTCATTTTCAGTGCTGTTTCATGAATTCAGCATAATGCTTGTGGTATATTCTGTCGTTAATATCACTCTCTCTCTTCACTATCCCAGATTAATGGAAATAACTTAAAGGAAAAACTCTTTCCAATAACAGTTTTCTACACAGGTATTTCTTCAATACACTATGTTTGTTTTCCTGTCCTGTTATTATTGAACCAGGTTCCAAGAAAACTCAGCAAGACAGTAACAGCTAAGGCTTTTGGCAGAGAGGCTACAGCTACAGTACCTTCCTGCACAGGCAGTGCAAGGAACTGGGAGCTCATTGTTGCATTGTTGACAACCCGGGTACACAGCAGAATAGGCTGCTTGGTTCCAGGTGATTTCTGATAAACACAACTGGAGTTTGCTTGCAACGCTGTCGCTTTGATCAAGACTAGTAGAAGAGGAAAGCAAGGCAGGGTAGCGCAAAATCAAACGTGCAGTAGCAAGCAAGGAGGTAAAATTACAGCAGATCTTGAATTTCCTTTAGCAATGAGATTTCTTAGGAGGAAGGAATGAATGCAAGTAAGACAGGCTTTTAGCTGAAATTTGGAGTCTGGGGAACTTCCTAATCTTACACTTTTGGCCGTGATTTTCATCATTATTCCTTCTGACATCTCCTAATCCTACCACTAAAATCTACAATTCCCTGTAAAAACACACAGAAGTACCTCCACCACTCTCCAAAGTAACTAAATACTCTCAATTTTGAAAACAAATCAAAGAATCATAGAATGGATATTTTCACAGTAGCATCTGGTCCTCCTAAACTTTTAGGCTGAGCTAATAATACTTTCAGCATAGAGCTCTCCTGTCATCAAGAACTAGATACAGATTTATTTTGCAAAATTTCTTAAAAACTTCTTATGCATCTACACTGACAGAAATACTTTTCACCCACAGCACTGAAGTTTACCTTTCCTTCCCATATGCTGACAGACTACAAAGCAAGAACAAAGGCAAAGAGCAAAGGCTGCCACAACAACCAGCTATCAATTCAGTAGGAAACCTTAACATCTGGAGCTGTCAGCCTGCTGTGAACACATGACTAATTTCTTATCACTAAAACTATGAAATATAAATCCTCATGTATCACGTCTATAGAAATTCTCATGTTGTTCCTTTACAAATGCCTTTCTTCCCCTCCTCCTTAACCAAGATACCCCACAGCTTCTGCTTCTTCCTTGTAAAATGTCTGTGCTCTTCCCTTAGATCTGCTAGCAGTGCTTTCTTTTATCAATATTAGTTAAGCAAGCATTTGGTCTGTGAAAAAGCTGTCAATTTCATTTTGTAGCTACACTTTTATTATTATTTTGATAGATACTAATATTTTCAGAATGGTTTACATTAAACGGAAGCTCATAATGCTTATTATGAGCATTACCTGTGTGGCCTAGAAGTGGACTTCATGGAACAGCAACCATTCAGACATTCAGCATGAATCACCTTGCATTTACCAAAACCTATGACTTGCACCTTAGCATTCACTAGTCAATTCTAATGGCTATCCTACCTGAAATCAGCACATTTCCTTCCCTCTCACTGTTTTCTGTCAGTAAATTCATAACTAAGCATAATTATTTTTGAGTAATCAGTGAACAAAAACATTAAGGACAAGTTACAGAGGTTTCTTTTTTCATAGCATTTGGTCCTAAAGAGTTCTGTAGCGATTACTTTTTATAAACAAAATCAAGATAATGCATACATGGATTATTTACTCACTCTGTGACCCCAGGCAGAATAAACATGCTCTGAATTTATATGGTCTGTACAGTTAAGATAGCATAGAATAATGAGACTTCAATCTGAAATAATGATATTTAGAGAAGTGATGCTATTAAGAACATTAAGAAGTCATTGTAGGCAAACTGCTTTCTGCATTCTGGAAATATCTGTTTTACCATTTTTTTTAAGAATTTTATTTTAGTTGTTATTAAACTAAAAAAAAAATTAAAAAAATACCACAAGTTATTGCAGACTGCTCCAAAAAAACTAAGAAGTGAACATGACGTCAAGTTCTTGTGCTGGTCTCAAAGAACAACATTCAGCAGAGCTAGACAACATGACTGAAACATGCATTTATAAAACAACTACAAAAAGACTTCCTGCCAGTGACAGGAGGTGATTCAACTAGCTGGCTGGCAGTAAAGGTTGTTTACCAGGTTCTGGATTCCTAATTGGATGCCTAGCTTGTTAAGTACCAGCTGGTCTTTAATTAGTTGAAAAATTATCATCACTAAAAGTTGCCATAAAAAGAAAGAGAACAATATAATTAAAGCATTAAAATCCATATGGTGGAATGCATACCTTCTCTTCTAATAGCTGTTTCTCCTCTCTTTCCTATACAGCATTAATAAGGTAATGCTTGTCCACTCGCCAAGAATACTCTCCTTTTTAAGTTCATATTGAAAGGAATAAAACGGAGGTGTGCTAGGAGAATGTATAGTGCAATGTTTCTCTTTGACTTTGAAATTATCCAGGATACTATTTGCTACAGAAATGAGTTGAGGATTGATGACTCACCCTTATCTGTACATCTAATCATAGTGGGACATCATTATCACATCTTCATTAAATACAAAGCAATTAAAGTAAATTTAAATGAAAAACTCTTCACATATGACTTAGTGAAATACAATTTTTTTTGCCTGTGATTTATTTAATATGAACACAGCCTGAATGCACATTCCAATACTTGTATAACTGGAAATCTGCAAGCAGTTGCTCTATAATTATCTGCCACAATATTTTCCTCCATTCCTGGAGGCTTACAGACTTTTTCTGCCCCTAAGGAATATCTTCTAATGTATGTGAAATGTTGAGATTACATGTGAAATAATTTGGTCTTAACGTGAAAAAATAAGTCTAAGCATATTTCTAAAAAGTTTTAAACACCTGTGCTATCAAATTTAATATTTTAGAGAATTTTTGTTTCTCTATTTTTCACTTACACAGGTGACTCAAAAGTAATATCTCCTATTTCTATGGAATCTGTAATAGATAAAAAGACCACGACAACACTGTTTGTTAAAGTTCTCGGGTACAAAACACTGTTTTTCAATATAAGGAGTCGTTATACTGGCATTTCTGTACCTGAAGAGGTCTTATAGGAAAGCAGAGAAGGGACTTTTTATAGGGACAAGTCGTGGCAAGACAAGGGAAAATGGTTTTAAACTGGAAGAGAGTAGATTTAGACTAGATCTCAAGAAGAAATTTTTTACTGGGAGGGTGATGAGACAGTGGAGCAGGTTGCCCAGAAAGGTTGTGAATGCCCCCTGCCTGAAAGTATTCAAAGCCATACTGGATGGGACTTTGAGTAACCCGGTCTAAAGGGAGGCGTCCTTCCCTCTAGAGGGAACAGACGGGTTGGAATTAGGAGATCTTATAGGTCCCTTCCAACCATAACCATTCTATGATTCTATGAACATAATAATCAGCATTACTATGCCTTTTCACCTGCAATCAACAAGAGCCTGCATGCTGCACTCACACACGTTTTCATGGCTGTCTGAAACATAGCTTGTCTTTCACACCACAATTGCCACTGCTGGAAAACACCACCCCTTACCTCACTGTGATCTTATCCACTGGTTAATCTCCATAAATGTTCAGTAAGCATTAGTGAATGTCAGTGGGTGCAATTTTTTCCTGCATGAAGAAATTCAATGACACATCTTTACTCCATATGCACTTCCATGTCAGATGCCATTTTGTCAGAGTGCCCCTCCACAGCTGTCTGCCACACAGCAACAAAATGTAATGGAATATTGGCAGGATGGTTCTAATTCAACTGGAACATCTATCTCTGATGTAGTGGGCCAACATAATACAAAAGGAGGTATTACTTTCAGAGCAGCTCCCATGCTTATTGGTTCGATCAAGAGGAAAGGAAAAAGATATTAGCTGAATCCCCTGACAGAATTTCACATTCATTAACCCTTTGTATGGTCAAGAAACTCAGTAGATGGGAAATATGTTTACTAATAACAGTGATGTATTATTAAGTAAAAGCTGAAAAAGAAAATACTAGTTCTGTCTAGCATCCAAATTAGCCATGGGAAATGGATAAAGTCTGCATTGTTTGTATCAGCAGTAAATGACCTTCTTTACTCTGCTGTTGCTTTTGTTTATATACAGCAGATAAATTTTAGAAACAATTCTCTTCCACTCTACATGAGTTGGTTGCCTCTGTTGAGCTTAAAAAATCTTTGTTAGAGTTAAAAGAAAAGGCAACGAGCTGTTTGAAAGACTGAATTTCCAAGTGTCTCAATTATCTTCAATTCTTCAGCATAAGGTTGAAAACATTAATTTTAAAATAACCCTTCAAAATAAAATCAATTGAATCTTGACAGCAACCATATTCAGAGGAAACAATCTTTCATAATTTTATACAACTCTTCCTGTAAGGTTTGGAAGGTGCACACAAAGAAAGCACTCATCAGATAAGCAAAATACAGCAATATATATCAGCTTCAATTCTTCACTAAAATGCCTTCCAAAGGCTAAAGCATTATTTTTTCCCCGCTAAAGTGTCATTTCCTATCAAGACTGCTCCTTGTTCAGGTCTCATTCACATTAGACCAGCTATTTCAAGGCACCAGAAGAGAAAAATGTTCCCTAGTGCAACTATTATAGAGAATCAAACCAACACAACTAAATTATCAGTAGATCTTCAAGTTGTTAGGATGAATTTTATTAGATTGAATTAATAGAATTCCTAGGTAAGCCTATTTCATTTTTCCCTTGAACTAATTTTAATAGGATGCTAATGAAATTCTTTGTAGTTTACGGTGAATAGCAAGTTATTTAGCACTTCCATATCAGTAATGAAGATGATTTCATTTTGTTAAACAGGATCAATATTTGACTTAGATTCAGATTCAATGTCTGATTTGCACTGATTTGTCTGGTTAAAGAAAACACCTTGGAAATCCTTTTTATTTATTTATTTATTTTTCCAAATTAAGTACTTACTTAACTGAAGCTTAAATGTGAAATTATAATTCAGAAAATGTTGAAATAGTTTTGTGTTCAACTACTGATTAATTAACTGTTCTTTTCTAAGACTTCAGGACAATATAACATTTATATAGAGAACTGAAGCCAAATTTCCACAACAAAATTTCATTTCCACTGTTTCACAAACAGCTTCTGCTTTCAGAAGGCAGGGAAATTCAAGGGGAAGGGAGGGATTTAGTGTAGTGTATTTAACTCTTCTCCTTTGCTTAATAACAAAATAACCCACTAGTGATTGTTAACAGCTTTTCTATCTTACAGACTCACATAGGTCAACAGAAAATTATGTTCTGACACTCTAAAAACAGGAGTTCACAGTATAAAAGAGATGACATGCTGAGAAGAGTCTAATGTAGGATAATTAAGGAACTGTAGCATCTGTTGGATGAGCATGGGCAGTTCAGCTTGAGAAAATGAGGCTCAGACTGATCTTATCAGTGCAGATAAATACTTGAAAGGAGGGTGAAAAGAACACAAGGTCATGCTATTTCCAGTGATGTCCAGTGCCAGGACCAGAGGCAATGGGCACAAGCCAGAACACAGAAGGTTCCCTCTGAACTTCAGGATGCACTTCTGTGTCGTAAAGGTGATGAAGCACTGGCACTGGTTACACAGAGAAGCTGAGCAGTCTCCTCTTTGGAGAGAGGGAAACAAAGAACAGAAATGAAGACAGAAACACATTGATGGTACCCGTAATCCACCCCTGTACCTCTGTTTAAAGCAAATATATTTTAAATTTTTTTTTTACTAATGTTTCTCCCATCAGTGTTTTAGTAACTCTGTTCTGAGGCCCTTTCAAATAGAACAGACAGGTCCTAAGTATAGTACTCTGCCTAAAGAAATAATGAGTGGAGGGATCTCCACTTTCTGTACATCCTACAGCGTGTGGAGAGGTGGGAAGAAGTGGAACTAGTACTAGAGATCAGGCTGATATTCCTCAGGAACACCATCCACGTGGTTTAGACAGCAAACCTGTCATCAGGCTAAACACAAGGTCACAACAGCAGTTTTGAAAACCATCAACAACAGCAGAAAAGGCAATGCACCTTGGAGGGGTACATGAAAGGCTGAGACATAAAATGTAATTACTTAGTACTTCTATTAACAAATGTGCACATACCAGCACACAAAAGTCTGGTAGGCATCTCTTTTGCTCATTTTTTATACTACCTGTAACAGCAGACCATCATTTAACTTAGTTTTATCATAGCCAGGACTCCCCAAGTTTTGCTAGAATTAATTTGAATCCATATTTACTTGACTTCTTCCTCTATTTTAGAAATCCTTTTTATTTGAGTTGGTGCGGAAAAATGTATCAAAATAAGGCATCCTAGCTGCCAGATTGCTGCGTGAACCTAGATTCAACCTTTATGTAATTTCCCGTGGCAGGTGATAAATGAAGAGATTGAAAAAGCGAACTGCTACGGAATTCTGATGAGCAAGCTCTTTCTTGCTTCAGCAAGAAAAAAAGAAAGACTGTCACTGATTTCCATGAAACACACTGCAGCTGGAAACCAGCTTATTAAAAATGAACTGTTAAACAAAAGAAACTCTCACAGTACCTATTTTCTGAGAGTGAGAGCTGAGTCACCCTGACCTGCCTCACTGGAAGTCCTTTAAACACACTAAGGCTTACAAGGGGAGCAGAAATAAACACAAAGAAATAGCAACAGAATGAGGTAAGGAAATATTTTTCTTTAATCACAGTCCTCAGATATCACAGTTTTAAGCCAGCAACATGCATGTCAGAGTAAAGATGGCTAGATGAAAAGAAGAAATGTTTTATTCACTAACACAAACAATATCTGGCTAGTGACCTGGTATTTCTTTTTTTTTTTTTTTTTTTTTCCTGGGAGTTCTGCCCACATTTAAAGCCGAAAAGAGAGCTTGCTCTTTCAAGAGTTGCTCAGCAGAATTTCAACGAGATAGAAATTTTATCTTTAATCTTAAAATCTCTACTTTGTAACTTCACTAGACATGATAAGCATGGGCAAGTTCTGCCTTGGTAAGTAGCCATAAATGCAACCTGGAACACATTTGGATGTTAAAAATGTAAGTAGATTTGAAAGATATTTCTGTTTAGCAGCCAGATTTGGCAGTTGAAAATTCCGCAATTTCTTATTTACCAAACTGCTTTGATATGGGGAAATCAACCAAACAAAACCTGTAGTTCATCTTTTTGCCCTTCAGAATTTTCCCATTGTTTCTGGGTTACATGCCTCAAAGTGAGTTGGCCAGCACCTTTGTCACTCACATCTCCATATTAGCACCATGTTCTGAGATCAGGAAACTACAAGGAGTAAACTTCAGCAACTATAATAGCTTGCCTGCATTATTCAGCATGTGGCATAGAAGCACAAAATATTTACAAGGGTCATTTTACGTGCACATTAATTATGTAAAATTAGATACACCAAGAGAGAGCCATTAAGCATAGATTAGAAAATAAGACCAAGAATGCTAGCAGTGCTGATAATAAGAAACCCAGAGTTTACTTCCAAAGGGAAGATAGTTCATTAACATTTTAATTTGTTTCTCAACAGTTCAATTATAACACATCTAATGTACCGGACATTAACTTTTGGGGGCCTGAACTAAACTGTAGATCAGAGTAAAATGACCCTGCTCTTTTCCATGCAGATGCAACTTTTCTGGGAACTTTTATTGCTGTCAAACCAGTTGCTCTTACCCTGAAAAGACTTTTAAGAGGCACACCTTTAAACATCTAGGGAAGTATCCAATAAATTAGAGAAGTTTCTCCTTTCCCCTGAAGCCCAGAGTACCACAATTGAAAATCAAGAGTATACAAGTGTCAAGGAACAAAAGAGGAAACATTTGGCATAAAAACAAATGACATAAACAGATTGTTCCCTATAATGAAATATACCAAATGATAATTGTGTTAGGTACATTACAAAGTAAAGCTTTATCACAGTTCATTCAGTTGTCAGTTATCTTGAGTCAACTGATTGTAAAAGAAATTGAATTATAGATTAATTTTTATGAATAAAACTATATATCAGTTATTTCAAGAAACACGTGGCAAAGTTCTGTTTCTGGAAAAGAAAACAGTTTCTGGTGTACACTTGTTATTAAATCAGAAAGGTACTTCAGCCCCCAAATAAAGCTAAAACTATTGTCTGAAAATTGAAGATATAAATATAAATGTTAATAAGATTTTTTCCCCTCAGAGTAAAGCCTACATAATTTTGCTTGCAGTCAGAGCTTTTCCTCCCGTTGGCATAGCAGACATTTTATCTTTATAGTTTGAAAAAACAAAAAAAAAAAAAAACAAAAAAACCCACACATTAGGAGGAATTGATTTCTGCAATCCAGGTGGCACGTAAACTGGCCCTTCAGTAAAGATCTAATCATAAACGCTACTGCATAGGTTGTGTCTGTTTACTGAGCAATTTTTTTTCACAGTTCATTAATTGTGAAAAGATGACTCAAAAGAAAACAAAAAGGACTTTGCCATTTTATGATAATGTCTTGCATGGCCACAAGGCTGGGATACACTTTTTAGTGTTCTCCTCACTAATGATACATTAGGAAATAGAAAGTTGGGCAGAAACATCCAAGAAGCTGACAAGATTTATAAGAATGGGCAACACAGTGTACTTCTGTAGGTGATAAGGTGTCTGCCTTGCATTTAATTTTTACTGTGCATTTTTCAGTTCTAAACAGTTGATAACAGGCAAAGCTAAAGAAGGTCCTCATCATTGGTGGTAAGAAAATGGGACCATGAGTGCAAAAGAACACATTTTGACCAGAAACTTTATCTGATAAATAATTAAAAATATACCTTCAAAGGTAGTGAGGAAGCAAGCAATAGAAAGAGTCAATTAAGTTATCCACAGCAACATTTCATTTCTACACATGGCTTTTACTTAAAGGGCAATCAGGAAAAGATTGAATGCTACAGTTGTCTATTAAAATGTTTACTTATAAAGAAAAAAACAAAAACAAAAAACACCAAAAATTTGAGAAGGAACACCAAATGAAATAATTACTTCATTTATTTGTAAAACATCTCAATTTATTTTCAGATGAAAACCAAAGTAACAAAGTGCATTATCAATCAAGGTTAGTGATTGGTGACAAATACGGGATACTACAGACTACATACGTTATCTATTTCCTTTTTTTACTTGTTGTGTTTTGGTCACATACCATGCTAGATTCTAACACAGATCCAATATCTGGCTGCATGAATTTCAAGGTTTGAAAAGTCAAGAAAGCCAAACTACACGGAATCTCCAATCCACCTGAAGAGGAATATTCTGCTTAAAGTAAATATCCAAAAAAAGGCAATCACCCCAATACCCTTGTACAGTTGATTAGAGGTTGGCTATAAATGCTTTCCATTTAAAGTGTCACTCCGAAAAGAAACAGGAAAGTGAGCTCCAACTCAGAGTTAGTTAACTTTAGTTGCAAGACCTAAGTTTGGATAATAATGCCCAGTATGCATTAGGAATTTTAAACAACAATAATTATTTTTTGAATAAAAGAGTTATGAGAAAGAGGAGATAGCCACAAAAGATTCAACAAGAGATAAACTGGCAGAGAATTGCAGTAATGTAAGATCCACTGTGATATCTTCATTATTGGCCATAACAAATTAAGGTTTTGTTTTGCAAGTGAATGAGAGATTCATAGCTGTTGACTTTCAATAGAAATACATTGCTGAATTCTGCCAGGTTGTTTTGACAAATTCTGATAGCAAAAGGTAGTATCCTAAATACGTATTTTTAATGAATTCAGTCATATGTGGGAAATTTTTTTTTTTTCCAATTGATATTTTAAAAATGCACAATCATCTTGCATTGAGAACTTAACACTGCAATGATGTACATAATTTGTAGGAAAGCAAGCCTTTAGCAAAAGGTCAACACTACAGTAGTGTTAAAGATCTTAGAACAGAACTCATACCAGCACTTTGAAAAACAATTCACCCACCCAAGCTGTTCTATATTGGATTAAAAAGTGACAAAAAAGGAACAAATTGTGAAGGCTGTTGACTGGATAAAGCATACTGTTGTTTCAATCAACAAGCTAGCCAAGACTGGTATTCACGTACATGAGAGTTGTGTAATAACCTATAAAACCTGGCTTTTCCTGGAAGAAAATCCTGTGAGGAATCTCATCTGAAAGCATGTTCTACCTAGGAAGAACTTAGGTCTACTATATGCAATCTGTGGTATTTATCATCTAATGAGCTTGAACAGTTCCTGTGCAGCTGAACAAATAAACAGTTATCAAATAAATAAATGCACCCAAAAGCAAATTTAAGTGCAGGACACCAATCACAGATGTAAACAGCTAAGGCACAGTAAAGCTAAATGCTAATGGCTAATGCCTGTCTGAAGAAATTATATTTCAATCATGCTGTAATTTGAATAAACATATAAAACAAAAATAGTGAAATACAAACACATTAACTTTTAAATGGAACATATTGGAAATGTAGATAGCAGAGAAAATGACAAGTTATAAAAGTCACACATACAGCAAACCTCAATTTATCCTGAGCTATTAGTTCTTAAATATTCTGCCGTACTGGACAAGCCAATGCTAATTAAGTTCTGAAAGAAAAAGCTTTCCTGTTTATGTAACCAAAGGTATAATTTGCAAGAAATTGCATTTTCTTATTACAAGGCACAATACATATTATAGAATCATTAAGTCACTGAAGTAAAATAACTTTAAAAGGCAAATAGAGTGCATTTACTTTTGATTGTTTTCTGATTTGCTGTAGACTATAAATGTAAATATGCAAAATTTCAGGAGCCTTCACAGAAATGGGTTACAGAACCATATGCCTATACGTAACACTTATACGTGCAAATTTAACCTGTTCCTTTCTTGCTCAGTTCAGTGAAATCCCTGTCTCCATAAGAAAAATCTGAGAAGATCTCTACCAGGACATAAAACGAATGTTAAAGCAAGCTTAATCAAGTGAGTTTGACTGTAACAGACATCTGCAAATCAAGTCAGAAACAACAGCCTAAGACACTACGAGATCTAAAAGAAAACATGGCTAAAGTTTGAGTTATAAATTAAAACAGCAAATCAAGAACACACCATGTAAAGAAGCAGAATGGGAGCGTGTGCTGACGCCAACCTAAAGATCAAGATGTCTCATAGTCTACAATACAAAATAGGATCAAAAACATGAAGCACACAAAATCAGATGGGCTAAGCAAGTACTAAAGCTCCCTAAGACATCAGAACTCAAGTGAAATAAAATAAATGGACATTTGCCTCCTAAAAATGACATGAATATCTGCAGTCTACATCCCTATTCCTCTTCAGTGTCAGAAATTGCAATGATTTTCTAGTATAAACAAGTAGCAAACTTAACATAAATGTTATCAAAGAAGTAATCGTATACTTAACCGTATGTAATGATATAATGTGATGGAAAGTACAGCAATAATAGCCGGGTGGCAAAGTCTGTGGCTTCAGCAAACAAAGACAAACCCAAATACAGTAGCTGCAGATGCAAAAGCAAAGGTAGAAAATTCGCTTACCTTTGGAAGGCCATAGGTAGGCAGGGATCCCATAGAGATACCCTTGTCTCCACTGTCAACCCTTAAATAAGGTCTGGGAAGGGGTGGCTCCTGGCTTCATTGTTAAAAAGCTCCACAGGTGCATTGCATGCACCTGAGCTCCCCTGAGTTGGCCCTGCCTTCCCACCAGCTGCTCAATCACTGCTTCAAGCCCATTTCTGCTACACCATGCAATTGTAAGGACTAAAATAGCAGGATTGTTTTTATTAAATAAGCTGTAGATGAAATCCATGTGCAGTGGAATTGCAAGGAACGAAGGACATGCGAAAATCATGTGAACCACGAAGAAAACTTTGCAAAGCTTCCACTCTACACTCCCTCTACTCCCCTCCCCCCCCAGATCAGTTCTCCCCATTCACTTCTTAGAGAACAATCTAGATTCAAGAAACACTGAATATGGTAAAGATTTGGGTTTTTTTTTTTTTTTTTTTTTTTTTGACATACAAAAGTACAGAGAATATTTATTTCTAATGATTCAGAACAAGGAATACTGACCAAATCGTATTTAAGCATTCTGATTCTCCTTGTTTCATCTTTCTGCAGTAGACTTCATTTTATAAATCAGTATATATTTTTTTCTAAGCAATTCATGGAATACATTTCATCCACCCGTATACCAAAGTAATCTGCTTCTCCCTCAGACACACACACTGTTCAGGTTTTTCAATGCAATTTACTGAAATCACAGATTTGCCATGATTTGCCTAAATCCAATGTACTTTTTAGAGCATGCTGTGATCACAGTCAGTACTTGAGTTTTTTTTAATTCAGTTTCCATTGGGTCTCAAGCACAACCAAAGTTCTTCTAATTCAGCTGTCAGCAACAGTTAAACTGATTCTTACACTGAAACAGCTTGCATAGGAAAACGGGATATAAAAATCAGAAAGGTGACATGACAATGCAGGCTCACAAGGCAGCACCTCAGCCAGTGATGTATGTAATCCTTACCTCCAGACTCCAGTTGACACCACCACCATCCACAACAGAACTGTGAAGGTTTTTTCTTCCCAATTCCTTAATCTGGAACTTGATATGTGGGACTGGTGGTAACTTGGCAGCACTGAGGAACATGAATTGTGCCAACCACTATATCAGGGGAAAGAAGAGTCCCAGAAGTGAGGTAAAACACTGGCAACTTTTATTCTCTGAAGAACCTATATCTGCGGGGTAGCCAAAACAATACATGCACTAGTGGAAGAGATGCCAGGGGTGCTGTTGCATGGAAGACAGAAGTCAATGGAATCCTTGCAACACACTTCAGTCACAGCAGCCCAGAGCTCTTAATAATAAAGAAATAAAACGAAGACAAGAAACAAACAATATGGCCAAACCCTCCCTTTAACTAAAGAAGGGGGATGTACACAAATTTATCTTTAAGTTTCAGCTAGTCAATTTGAGCCCACACTAAAGGGATCTCTGCTGATGCACAAAACTAACTGAAAATTCCCTTTTGAACTGTAAACCCAAAATAATACCTGGAAAAACTTCTGTCTCAAAAAAAAAAAAAAAAAAAAAATTAAATTAAAAAAAAATTAAAAAAAAATCCGAAATAGAAAGTGATTTTCAAACTAAATACACATCTTGCTTACCTATCAGCTTTTCACTTATAATGCCAAAGTAATGATGAACTTGAGAGTTACTGAGACTTTAATTCTAGCCTTCCTACTGTCACAGAATGAACAATGTCAGTGCCTCATTTAACCTCATTTTGCACATCAGACAATAAATACTCACTAGGCTATGCAGTGGGTACAGAATTTTTTTTTTTTTTTGAAAATAAATCCATCATTTATTTTAAAGAAACAGTATTTATTCAAATAATTAGCATTCATTCCCTGAAAATTACACTATCATTCCACAAGTCAGAAGAACAATAAAGCATCAGCAGCTATCAAGGTATTGCAAGAAAACATTTATTCTTGCAGGTCTTAAAGCAGTCTGAAAAGCGTAGTGCAAGAATTATATGTCAGGAAATTGGTGCAAAATTTTTTTTTTGCATTTGAAATAACCCAACTGAAAATTTAATATCTACTTTCCCAAAAGAACTTTCCTCAAGTTAGCAATGTCAACATTCAGTATGCCTCTGCAGATATGCACCTAACTCTATGCAAAATTATACATATATAGTGAGAATGCACGTACATATACATATACAAAACAAAATATTTATAGTAGCTACTGAAACCACGTTTTCACTGAGGATTCGACAGCTTTAAAGATAGTACAGCTGTAACTGAAAAGTAAACACTTAAATATATTTAGTAAACATATTTTCTTCTTGATTTTTAGATCCCTTTAATAGTAGCCCTACAGATACTTTATTTGAGGTCTGCTTTTGAAGTAGAACAAATGTTTCTGTAGTCCTCAGATCCAATAAAAATAAACAAAACATTCTCTTCACAGACTTCTTCACTCGAGTGCACAAAATCCTTCCATTGCTCCATTTATTCCATTAGTGTAGGGCTTAAATGATGCATGAGGCTTTCAGCAGTGAGGTGAATATCATTTTTAAGAACCCAGTAGAAAGATAAACAATACAGAAACCATAACTCAATACTGAAAAATATTTGCAAGTAAAAATACAACTGTAAACAGTACATTCAGGTCCAGCCTCAGACAGAAAGCAAAGTAACTCTCCCCCAACAGCAGCAGGCCCTGATTCAGTTTGGCATTTAGGAATGTGCTTATTAACATTAAGCACAGGCTTTAGTCAATACAATTTAAGTTCTGGCTTATATGTTTTCTTAAGCCAGAGCTTCAATGATTAGAAGAGGCTCAACTACGAATTAAAAGTAGCAAAACAGTCAATAGTGCACTGGGAAAATTAAAATGTACAATCTCGTTTCAGATTTAACAACTGGTTAAATGTGATAAGTGCAAAGTCTGAAAGACAAAACTTGCTTTCTCAGTGCTATGTGCCAGAAGAATAAATAAAAAACACTATATAACATTTGATTTTAATCTCACTTCTGCTCTACTTACTAACAGATTTACCAGATACATTGAATAATTTGTCTAATTTCTTTAAACAAATTATTTTTCCAATTAAGTTCCTCAATGCAATCAAGAATAGAAGTAACTGATGTGAGAAATGTTATGGCACCTGTAATTACCAGAAAGAGGAGAGAGGATAAATTGATCCTATATGGGATGAAATGCAGTAACAACATAAGTAATTCTAAAAAATATCATAGTCAGATGTACACAATATAGACACAGTTTAGAGATGCAAATTCATTGAACTAACGCATTGCCTTATCTATTGTACCCCTCTCCATTTTAATTCATTTCATGTTGCTCTGAGGATAAATTTATGGAATAAGACTCATGACATTCTTAAATAAAAAAAATTTATATGCAAAAAAAAATAATCACACTTAAGCAGATGTTACTCATTTTTATAGTGTTAAATAACATATTGTAGGTTAACAGCATGAATTTCAGTGTACATCTTGTCTTCATTCTAAAATCTCCCACCACTACTTACAGGATGGTACAGAATATAAACAGAGCAAGAGCTTTTGATAGTGCTTACAATTCTTCCATCTAACAAAATATGCAATAACAACAAAAAAAATGGCAGAGAAAACCCAGGTTCCAATGTATCACACAGCAAAACAAATTTCAGAACTTTTGCAATATCAGCTCAGTTCAATCTTAAATTGTACCATGGCTTACTCACAAAATCAACAGTAGTATATAAACAAGTTTTCTCTGCGCTGTACAAACTATACACGCTAAAAAAGCCACATAATTTTGTCCAGAAAATATATATTCTAAACTTCAGACTCAGGACATCAGCTGGATGTATCATCATGAAGTGTTCTGTTTTTCTGTAGCACTGTACTTAATTCCTGAATCACATTTGATGGCAGTTTGTTATCTAATTCCATTGTATTTTTGTTTGTTTTGTTCTTGATTTTTTTGGGTGGTTTCTGCGATCTATGGCACAGGTCAGCCATTCCCACACTCATCTCCTCAGCAGAGATAAAACTCTGACGTGTTTTGGTATGATTTCGCACTCTCTCCTCCTTGCGTTCTAAACACTGTGCCACAATAGATGCTTTTTCTTTCAAGTTTTTTCTTTCTTCCACTGGGTCAATTTCATCAAGTTTTGGTTTCCTCAGTTTCAACTGTATATCCTGAGTGAACAAATAAAGATAAATAAGATCATTCACATTAACACTATAATCAATAATGTTTATATTACAATTTCTGCTCTGTGATTTCACATAACATTTTAAAGAAGAATCAATTTTACTAAAGAGCTGAGATAGCATACTTAATAATTCTAAATTTCCATAATTTCTGTTATCATTTATAAGCATTTTTTGGTGAGCATATTTCCTCAACTAGTGTTACTTCTAAAAATTACATTAATCTTCCAGCAAAATGCCCATGACAATGAATTGAAGACATTCATTTTCATGTATTTTCATGTATTTACAATTTGATTTTACGCTCTACCACAGCAAATTAATTTTTTTTCAGCAGATCCATATATTAATGCCTTAATTTCTCAAAACTCTTATTGAAAATGTTGCAATTTTAATAATGCCTACAGTAAGTGAATGCACAAAATATAGTTTTGCATAAACATTTACATTACATAAACATACAAATGCACAAACATTTTCAGTAACTGTTCAGTAGTACTTGCAAAATTACTAAGACTGCTTTTTTTTATTTTTATTTTGACTAGCAATTTTAAGTAACATACTGGTAACTCAAACTGATGGCAATATGGCTGTTTCATATTGGTGGGTTGCATTTAGTTCTTTAGTTGCAAGAAATGAGAGGGAAATTACATGCCATGGCTAAATCTGCAAACATTGTGGGCATTTAGGAGCACATTTGTAAAGTAAGAGAGCTCTGAACGTGATATTTACACTTCAAAGCTTCATATGAACTTCAGTTTTCTTGTTCTGTCAGAGGGTCAACTTTGTGCACTAAATATGCTCTTGCAGAATGCCTGCTCTAATTTTGCCTGAAAGCAGTCCAATTTCACAGGCTCCAGAATCACTCTACTATTCATTGAATTGTAGACTAACAGAATCATAGAATGGCTTGTGTTGTAAAAGACCTTAAAGATGACCCAGTTTCAACCCCCTACATGAGTAGGGTTGCCACCCACTGTCAGGCTGCCAAAGCCCCATCTAATTCGGCCTTGAATGTCCCCAGGCATGGGGCATCCAAAACTTCTCTGGACAAACCATTGCAGCACCTCACTGCTCTCTGAGTGAGAATTTCTTCCTAACATCTAACACATTTACCCTCTTTCAGTTTCATCATCAAAGAAATGTTTGAAGCAACTCAAAGCAAAATATAGTAAATGGGAACAACAACACAGCAGGATTTGCTCCTAAAGTGCACTCCTGATCCTAACTCAGATACTCATGTAGATGTATCTAAACTATCTTCCTTCTAGAACTGAATATTTTTTCATGGCTGCTTTAACAGATAAGGTACCAAGATTCCATAAGACAGTTTGCTCACGCACGAAATGTGAACAACTCGAAAAAGATCCAGCTAAACAGAATGACTGCTATACAATAAATACAAAGAAAGTCCCTCTCAGCCTTGAGTGTCTTTTAGTAGTCAAAGATGTCATACATGAAAGAAAATGAATTCCAAAACCTCATTTTCCTGTACAGTTGTAAGGCTTTTCCAATGGAACAATCTGCCTACAGTACATTCCTCTATCATTTACTTTTGTTTTAAAGTCATGTTTATTTCTTCCTGATGACAGAGTATGAGTGTTGATACAGAAAATTAGGAGAAGTGTAAGAAGGAAAATAATAAATATTAACTGCTTAGGTTATAGAGATGTAAGCTATACAGTGAAGTCTACATCTGTGCATCGGAACTAGCATTTATTCAGTAATAAACAAAACAAATACTTTGATGATATAAAACAGTTTCTAAAAAGCAGATAAAAATGTAGCTTGGTTTTTTTCACAACATTTTTACAGTTATGGAGGATAGTATTTTTTAATTGCATTCCCAAAGAATGAAAATTACCCACTAATAACAAGACATTGGTGACCTAGCCGTGCAAAAAAAAAAATATGCATATGTATCCCAGAACAATGATGCATGTGAGTTCACAGTGCTACAAGTTACCATAAGTGCATGCTATCAGGCACATCTTTAGTGACTGAAAATTTTAATAACATAAGTAACAACCTCTATCAATTACAAATCACCTGCTACCATCTAGGCCTGCAAGGAATATGTTTAATATATTCATCCATTTTCAGTGAAAAACATTCCAGGCACCTGATAAACTATCCCAGTGACTCACATATGTAGGGAGTTCTGTTCTGGGAAATATCTGAAAAAGTTATTTTCTACTTAAAATATTTTTTTAAAGATTAAAATCAGTCAGTCATTCAATTTCAATTAATAAATCAATAACAGAATTAATATCTGATTGTATATATATTTGAAATGTAGAACATGTGAAATACCAGTTATGCACCACCTTTCAGAAAACAGTAACAAATCCAAGCCACCTATTGTTATTCAATAAACTAAGACATGAAGTATAAATCAGGATCAATAATCTTCTGCTTAAAGATTTTTTACGTCATATTATAATTTTGCTTCTTCTGAGAAGAATACTGACTATACTTCTGAAAGTATAATAAATTGCCACAGGTATAGCAGAAACCGCTCCCCGCCTGCCCCCCCAATAAGAAAACAACACAAGAAATAAACAAACAAAATAAACTTATTTACCAAAATAGCTTTGTATAATGTAATTTTGAACAGATCAAATACAGCTCAAAAATAACAGATGCCTACTTTTCTGAAATAGTCATGTATGTTGGCAGGTTTTATTATTAATGCAGACTTTTAAAGTACCATATAGGCACTATATACAAGAACCTTAGTTCCCATATATTGGTGCTGTAGAATTATTAGTAGAATTTTTCTGATTCTAATTGTCCTTAGGAGAATTTTTAGCTATAAAAGTGTTTTCAGATATTTTGCAATATATTTTTAGCAAACAGGAAAATTGTTGCTAGCAAACAGGAAAATTACTTTCAATAAATATCAATTTATTGATATTTGATAAATATATTTTTAAAAATACATTTATACAGCATTTTTAGCACCAGAATGTACATTTTAATCTTCTTGGCTTTGGATAATTCATTTTTTTTCCTCATCCATTTTTAGAGTGCAAAATGATGACTCTTTTTTAACCATCTGGAGAACTTCCAGTCTCTTCTCTTGCCTATAAGACAAATTAGATCACATTTCTACCGTAAGTTTTCACACTATTCTGTAAAGCACACCTCCATTTTTCATAAACCAGTGCCTTTCAGAAAATGCTTTATTCTGTCATAAGTCCCTAAAACTTTAAAATAAGGTATTTTTGTTTATTGGAGAAGAACTACAAATCTGGGGGAATAATGAAGTTGTGGTCTACAAATAGATATGTATCAGCTAACAAACTACACTGCTGTGCTGTATTACCCTATAATCACTCATATGAAATACTCATTTTCTACCAGTCAGCCATATCAGTTTATTCTGATTTTGACATTCATGTATAAAAAAAAAAAAAGCTATATTTTTATTTTCCATTATCTAACTTGGTGTTACTCTTCTTCAAATATACAAATAATGCCTGTATAAAATGTGTCAATATATAGTCATAGATAGAGACTGAGATCTTGTACTTTCAAGATCAAACAGAAATGTTTTCTGAGTTGCAGGGTACAAAATATGGTAGTTCTTGTTAACAAGGCACACCAACAATAAAAAAAAAAGTCTGTTATTGTAAGATATTGAGGATTTAAAACATTGATGCTCAAAATCCAAGAAGACTACAGATTCCAGCCTTCTAGGGTGGAAGTTGTCTCAAAGAACAGATCAAAAATCTGGTTACTCTGAAAGTAATGCCTCCTATTTATTTCTGTATAAACTATAACAGATATTAAGAACACAATAATACTATTTGATAGATAACATTCTTAGCTACAAAATATTATTTTAACCTAGTAACCATCATTAGCTTTTTCACCAACAATGAACAAGAGCCTGCATGCTGCATTCCGACAAATCTGCACCAGTGGAGGTGACCCACTGTCACTATCTCCACTGCTGAAATGCACCACCCATCACCTCACAGCGTTCATGTCCTTTGTTCGCTTTTGTTTAGCATGCATTGATGAATGTCAGTGGGTGCAATTTTTTTCCAACTCAATGACACACCTCTGCTTCATAAGCACTTCCATGTCAAACGTCATTCTGTCACACTGCCTCTCTGCCTCCATCTGTCCGACGGCAGCAAAATTTAACAGAATATTGGTGGCAAGGTTCAGTCTTTACTGTCATACCACAAACATCTACTTCTGACATCGGGGGCCAACATAATAAATAGAAAGCATTACTTTTAGAGCAGCCATCATACATCCAGAATCAAAAATACAAGAATTAAAAATATACCTAAGGGTTACAGAGCTTTTTGAATGACAAGACTTGTATTTTCTTTTCATTTACAAATTTTTAAAAATGCTTAAAAATGCAAATATTAAAAGGAGTTTCAAAAAGTACTTTCCTGAGAAAAGCTAAAATGAAAGGACTACTTAAGCAAGAGAGAAAAACAGTAACTGCATTCACACTGTATTATAATCCTTGTTAAAAAAGAACAGAAATGCATTTTAAAAACGTGTAACAAAAGGAGACCAAAAAAAAAAAAAAAAAGAAAAAGAAGGTGCTTGTTAGTAAAGCACCACTTTTATCTTTTCTTTTGGTTTGTTATGGAACTGAGTCAACTCCAATGATTTCTGCCTGAAACGCTGTCTCTAAAGGACAATAACATATTCCATATTTTCGTCTTTCAAAATCTTCTTAGATATACAAGAAATTATACTGCATACAGTCTAAGGTCCAAATTGTTTTCCTGCATGTCTTCTCTTTAGCTTTCCGATTATTTACCACTATTTTCCCCAAGCAAATCAGTGACTCCACAACCAGTGCATCTTTCCAGCCGAAAATAAGGCACAAAAGTATTCCCAGAAGCACCAGTATCTCTACGTGGATGCCAGAAATTCATCTTAAGCTTGTATGATAATGTTGAAACATACCATTAGTGCATATATTGTAGAGACACTGAAGCCAGTCTCCATAAACAGCTGTAATTAAACTCTGACCCTGTTCTTTGAGAGCCAAAATATTACAACTTAAAAAGTTTTATAGTTAGTTCCAGTTGAGATTTCCCATTACATTCGCTGAGCATATAACTAATCCCTAACAGATACTGTGGAGAGCAGAAAAAGTATGACAGAATACGTATGCTCAAAAGCTTTCAAGGACATCATTGAAATAAAACTGTAATGTACAGTGGTCCTGTTTATTTCCAGTGAGCAAACCTTGCTCAACAAATATACAAATAAAATCCATTATTGATTTATTGAACAGCCAAATCACTGACACAAGATTAGGTCAAAATAGGATGGTTTTGTTTTTACATTAGATTGTCTTAAGTAATCTTTTAATGGTTACACAATGAATGAAAAGGATTTTGACAATAAGAGCACCTACATTTTGCATTTATTCAGTTCTAAAGAGGTCATTATTACTAGACTATTTAGATATACAGCATTGTCATTAGAACTTCCACACCAAGATTAAACCCTACTTACTTCTGTACTCCCTCTGATTTTACAAGTGTTCTTCTCCTGTTGAATGGGAATTAGTTGTAAACCTCCAATCTTTGGACTTTTAGTTATAGACTGTTTTCTTGCTTTTCCAGCAGGCGGCCATATACTGGCATGCTGAAGAACAAAAAAAATTCCTTATTTTTGGAGTGCAATTTCATAAAGATACATCATTCTTTTGTATGTAAAATTGTCTTGGAAAAAGCTATCAACTACACAACACCACATTTTTTTCCCGGGAGGGGGGAAACTCAGTATGGTGCTTAAAATTACATTAATAGTTCATTGTGCAATGCTGCACAATACTGGGTGAACAGAATCAAAATGTCTCTATGCAATTTTCATGCATTTTGATCTTCTGTCCACACTGCATATCAATACAATTATCTACTAGTAATAGAAAACATCCTCATGCAAGACAAACCCATATATTTGCTCAAAAACTTTCAAATTCCACAAAAGCATGCTTTCAGAAGAGTTAATACAAGTTTCTGAAATAATACCATCCCAATTTGCAAACGTTTAAAAATTTATATTAATAACTCAGGAGAAAAATATTGCTTGTTCTACAATAACGGCATGTGTTTATCCAGAAAGAAATGGTCTGACAGTCTGAATGCCCCAAAAAAACATAACCTACACTTAAATAAATTTGGCTTTAGGTCTTTTCTTGCTCTATTGAAATAGGTCAGTTCTGGGGAGAATCCCAAAGTATGCAACTTTATTCAAGTGAAAAACATAATTGGTAAAAGAGAAAAAAAAATAATTACCTGAATATTCCAAATTAAATTCAAAAAAAGACAAGCAATATAGCAGGCAACCCTAACCCACTGCCCACCTGTGGCCCAGCACAGCTTGCAGTGCAACCCACCCATCATGGCAGCAGCTCTTCCCTGTCAAGCAAGCTGGCCAGGCTCAAGGTGTGCAACTGTCACTTAGAATGAAGCAAAATTCAGTGTACTATGAAACCTATCTGGGCTGAAAACAAGACACGGGGCACAAAGCAATGTCAGCTGAAGTTATGGCAATTAAATGTATGTGTTTTGATACACTGGCTAAACACCGTCCTGTGAGAAGTAAAAAAATATGTAGCTATACTTTCTATTGTGATAAAGGAATTTGAGAACAAGTTTCAATATCGCCTAAAATATTGTCACTTTTTTTTTTGTATGTTTGCAACTCTATTTTCAGTCAACACACATTACCTGCAAATTTTCAAATGGAATGTAGAGCTGCAATCAGACATTCAACTAAAAAAAAAAAGTGATCACATCTTTTTATTGGTTTTTATAAGCCCATTGTCAGCAGAGAGAAATATCCCTTGCTTTACAATCACATCTTATTCATGTCATCCCTCTTTGGTATTACGTACATAACTGTTTTCAAGGATGAAGCACAGAAAAAATAAAATTTCAACAAAAATCCCCAACTATTACCTTGAGAACTCACTAAGAATTGAAACCACTGAAATCAAAACCAGCCTGATGCATTAGTTTCACGAAAATAAGGTCAAATATCCCACTAGTTTCATGGCTTTGTTGCTTTCCTTTTTTATGTTTTAATAAGAAATACTAAAAATTAAAATGTTTTGTTCCTTCTATAAATTAGTTGTATTTTACATATTTTATAAAGGTAGCTCCAAAAGTAATGCCTCCCATTTTATTTGGCCACAACAATGGTGGATGTTGGTGGTATGGCAGTTGAGGTTGAACCTTCACACCAGTATTCCACTACATTTTGTTGCCATGCAACAGACAGCAATGGAGGTACAGTCTAACAGAATGATGTCTGACATAGAAGTGCTTATGAAGTAAAAGTGTATAACTGAACTCTTCCATAAGGAAAACATTTCACTCATTGACTTTTATTGACCTTTGCTGAAACCTTATGAAGACCAAACAGTGGATGCGAGTACAGAGATGCGGTAGGTGGTGTGATTTTAGAGTGACAACAGCAAGAGTGAGTTTCCTCCACTGATGCAGATTTGTATGAGTGCAGCATGCAGGCTCCTGTCCATAGCAGACAAAAATGCATAGCTAACGGTGGTTAGCTAGCATCTTGTAACTGAGAGTTTCCTCTATCAAACAGTGCTATCGTACTATTGTTGTAGCTTCCATGGAAATAAATAGGAGGCATTACATTCAGAGCAATCTAACATATGCAACACAAAACAATTTATCTTCTCTGCAGCCCAGGCAAGCCAAAAGGTTGGACACCCATGTGATACAGTAACCAGAACTCAATATAAAGAAATATTTGCATATTGGAGTGCAAGGGTACACATGGTGTTGGCCTGGGTGATACAAAAGACCGCTCTGTTGTAAAAGCTCTCCCTTCTGAACACTAAGAACATTCATTTTTTTTCCAATAAAACATCAGTAATGTTTTATTTGAAAGAAAAGATCAAAAACAATTTACTGTAGACCATAATAAGGGTAGTGAAGCACTAAAACCAGTTGCCCAGAGAGGTGGTAGATGCCCCCATCTTTGGAGACAGTTGTGCTCAGGCTGGATAGGGCTCTGAGCAACCTGATATAACTGCAGGTGTGCTTGTTCATTTCAGCGGAGTTGAAACACATTATTATTAGAGGTCTCTTCCAACTTAAATGATTCTATATTTCTAAGACATAAAAAACAGAAGTGATTCCAAAAGTGGCTAAGAGGCTTTAAGTGAGCATCTGAAGGAAACCACCTCCATTAATTTTCAGCTGAAGGAATGTAAGGCCTTAAGGATGTAGTTCCATTTCTCTTTTGTGCCTGTAACTTTACTTAAAGTAGAACTCTGGGAAAATGTAACAGAAATACTAGCAATGGATTATGAATAAATAAATTTATTATATAGCCTAATTTTTACCTATCCTCCCAACTGTACATTACAGTAACACAGTATGCCTCTCTCCAGTCAAACAGAAGCAACAGAATTGGAAGTAAACAATTGCATCAATTTTCATATCAATTAATTCTTTCCAACTGTCTCTTATATATGTTAGTAGTCTTGTACAAAACTACTGTAGAATTAAAGAATGAAGTTTTAGGCCATACTTTTCAGACTGACTTTGCATAGCACTACAAGCAACAACTGATCTCCTCCAAACTCTTTCAGTATTTAACTATTTGAGTACAAATTGAATAAACTGTGGAATAAATTTACTTTCTGTAGTAAAAGTACTCTTGTACTTATAGTAGTATCTACAACTTCCTTATCTAAACAAAGGCAGTGAAGCTGGGGAAGGATATGGAACACAAGTCTCACAAGGAGTGGCTGAGGCAACTGGGATTGTTTAGTCTGGAGAAGAGGAGGCTTGTGGGAAGACCTTATTGCTCTCTACTATTACTTGAAAGGAGGTTGTGGTGAAGTGGAGGCCAGCTTCTTCTCCCAGGTAAGTGGTGATAGGATGAGAAGTAGTGGCTTTGAACTGCACAGTTCAGGCTGGATATTAGGAAGTACATCTCAGAATGAGTTCTAAGGCATTGGAACAGGCTGCCCAAGGAGGTAGTAGAGTCACTGTCCCCCTAGAGGTTTGCAGGAAAACAGTTGATGTGGCATTGAGGGACAAGGTTCAGTGGGCAAGGTGGTGATGTTTTGATGATTGAAGTAGATGGTCTTAGTGTTCTTTTACAACCTTTATGATTTTATGATTCTGACTTTCCTGTTTAGACACTCTATACTGTTTATACTTCAGGAATTAAGAAATTTTATTTTTTTCTCTTCCTTTTCCTGATAGCAGTACAAAATTACCAACATGAAGTTTTGGTCTATTTAAGCACCTAGGAGCACATTAGGAGATTTCTCTCCCTTCTAATTGCACCAGATCAGTTAATACAAATGTCTTAGAACTCCAAAATCTTCTTTACACTATTTCTCAAATTGTAAACTAAATTCGGCTACTCTACTGACATAAATGAAACATGCTATCTGAAGTCTTTCTAATATAAAGTTTTCCAATTACTGTGATAATGCAAGATAGAAGAATGTTATCTTCTCTAAAGATGGAATCCACTTGACAGTTTTAACCAGAAGTAACAACTCAGCTGCATTTAAAGTTTTCTTGTTTAGAAAGGGGACAACGTGAAAAAAATGATCTAATGCTTTGTGATAAAAAAAAATAAAATTCTATGTAAATAGTACTTTAAGCAGTACATTCTAACAAAACAATACAGCTTTACTTTAATATTTCATATAATTTAAAGACTGTTAACTTTTATTTTTGTCCAGAACACTGGTTTTAAAAAAAATAAAAAAGAAAAAATCTCAAGGTATTGCATTAGTATAATCAATTTTTTGGCCTCAGGAGAATGAAGCATTCAAAATACAAGTATTATTAATAACAACAACAACATAAAACAGTATTAATTCATAATTTTTATAAAATGTATGTGAATTTGTTACATTAGAAAGCATCTCTTAAACATTGATAAGCCTTTTGTTTTTTTTATCTATATTGTCAGAGTAACATTCTGCATACCACACTACCTGATCAGAATCATAACTGATTGCCTTCCTTGTGATTTCATGTCAGAAGGGTTTCAACACTTACAAAGCTTGTGTGAGTTATTTCGAAATAGCCTATATCAATAACCTCTGAGCCTATTTGTTGTGACACTGCTCATGTTATGCCCATGAGATGTATGCCAGGGTTGGTGGCTGTTTCCATAGAAACTACAATAGCTACTTCAGTTAAGGGAGCTGGAAAAGACCAAAATTTGTTTTACTTTAGAAGGCATACATTATATTTCTAGCTCTACTACCTATGAAGGTCAGAGATATAGATACTGTTTCAGAAAGCGTTTACAAAGTATGCATTGCAACAGCAGTTCCCAGACCACTTAATGTAATATGTAAAGTTCACGGGTTATCATAAATCTATCATTGTTTATGCACTGTGATATCCCTGAAAGTTCCTTGAATATCATGGGTAAGACAAAAAAAAAATCAGTCCCAAGTACCAAATCCCTTTAAGAACTTCAAATCTGTTCTAGTCTAATGTCAGATTGCATTCTTCCCATCTTCTCATCTCTCACTTCTCACCATTTAAATACTAAATTCCATTGGCAAAGGTGATTTACAAGGCACTCAAAATTACAACCTCCTTGCTCACAAGCTAGTAACAAGCAGATAACTTAATTTTAGACAACACAATTAAGTGCCAGTGTTAACTAAGCTAACTTGGATACCAGAAAAAACACACCTGTGTTGGCACAGCTCTCCAACAAGACTAGTTTCCACCACTGTATTTAAACAAGGTACTTTTTTTTCATGACTACTTAGCATCCAGCATCCACAGAAAGAGCACTCAGGCTCTGTGGGACAAGCATAACCTTTGTGTCATCAGCTAGAATTTCACACAAAAGAGGTTTGTTACTGCAAAGGAAATAACTTGTCTTTCTTTAAGCAGCTTCCCTAGTACGCAGGAGGAAAATCAGATCTCAGAATATACTGATGTTCTTCCCCCAAGCCTCAAAGCTCTCAGCTTTCATATGAAAATGCAATTGTAAACAGCAGTCTTCAAAGACTAAAACCATCTTTCTGTAGCACTAATGCACTGTATACTCCAGACATCTTAATGGTATTGCGAGTTTATCCATAGTGCATCTATAACTAATACATGTCATTTTAATGGGATTTTCATAACAGCAGTAAAATCAGCATTTCTTGCATTTGATCAGATTAATACCTTTGCAGTAAAAATGCTGATCATCCAGTCTATCTGTGCTTCCTGTCCATCACAACATATATGCCTAGAACAAAGAGTTAACAAGGAAAAAAAATAAAACATAATGCAACTACAGATATTAAAGACTAAATTTCTAGACAAGTTCAAATAGAATTTACATACATTTATGAATGTTGCAAATATTCATTTTTTTAAGACTCCCATAAAAAGACAATGAATTATTATTATCTCAGATTATCACCTAACCCTATTTGAAGACATTCTATCTCTTAATTTAAAGCATGTGCAAAGACTTCATGAATTTTTAATCGAAAATTTTTAAATTGTTTGCTGATTTATGGCCATAGAGAAGAGACGGACAACTAACCTCCTTGAGATTATCAAAATATATCAACTGCAATTGTTTAGTTAATTAGGAAAAATGTAACAACTCGTCAACATTTAAGCAAAATAATGTTTACTAGTTTTAAAACATAGTTATTTTGAAATGGAACATTTCAAGAAACATTAAACATTGAAGTTAAAACAATTATGTGTTTCATGTTTACATACCACTGGTGCTTTTCAGAAATCACTACAATTCCCCAGCTGAAAAAGAAAATATCAAAATTAGTTTCAGAAACTCAAGACAGGAGCATTTTCCTGAAGCTATAGGCAATGAATTATGTAGTATTTTTTATCTGTTTATTTGTTTTCAGTACGATTCAATGCATATTGCAAATCTATTGAGGGTTTGATATTTTATTTCACTCATTTTCCCACAACTGACTCACAGGTTATAAGCATTCTCTTCGGGACAAAGGTTTATAGCCAAGTCCTGGAGATCTTGGCTAACTGCCTGCCTCATTTTGGCAGCTGTTCTTTCTGAAAACCGTTGGAAGCAAAACAACTACTAAGATAGTGTCCAATAAAGAAATCACAATGAAGTCTCTGATGTGGAGAAAAACACCCAGATGCTCTTAGGGCTCTAGAAGAGACTTTGTAAATTCTGAGTTTAAACAGACTGAAAATAAGCCTCAAAGAAATAGCCTACCTGCAAAGACTCATTTACATAGCCTTTGCCTTTTTATTTTGGACTACTCAACTACTTATTCTGCATTAAACACAAAGAGATAAAAAATAAAAAATAAAAAAAAAAAAGGACACCCAAGAACACCTCCCCATGCTGTCCTGTTGAAAAAAGGAAAACAACATCAAACATGAAAAGCCCCACAAAACTGAACCCCACCAACTTTTTCTTCAAGATAACTACAGTTTGAAATTTACAGACTTTTTTGGAGGGCATTTTGATATGCCAACAGTAAGGGAAAAGTTTAGACAAATCTCCTACAGGGTACAGTCTGCTTAGAATCCCCTTGGTATGAAATCTTATTGTCACTGTGTCTCAAGGCTTTAAAGAAAGAAGTACTAGAAACATCTGAAAAAAACAGGTGTCATTTTTCACTCCACTTTTCCAGAGACATAGTCACTGATATTTGTAAAGGGCACAGTAGTATTCATCAAGAAGGAGAAATATCAAAAATAACAGGGGTCCTGAAAAATGAAATCTTCTGCTGAACAACAGGGATTGTCACTAAAGGCCACAACTAATTGCTTTTTTCTTCTTTTCCCTTTTTCTTGATGCAAAGAATGTGTGTCCACCAATGAAATGCAGGGCACATACTCCAAAATTAAGTGAGCTGGCAGCAAACATATCCACAAGAGATAATACATTTAAGATTAAGAAAAGCCAATCAATAAAGTAATTTCCTAGTACAGAAGAGTTAACATGGAACACAAGAACAGAGATAACATCGGAACAAATAATATTACGGAGGGTAATTTAATATAGCATACTTCAAATGGCTTCTCAACTTTCTCCAGTTCCACAATGTTTTACGCTCCCTTTTCTCTAAGGCACTACAGTACCTTGTTACATGGTATTTAGCTTCTTTTCATTTTTATTCTTACTTTGTTGGTGGTTTCATTTTCTTTTTCACTCCAAGATAAAGCTTCAGTGAGTTGACAGGCAACACTTTTTCAGGTTTGCTAGCCTGCAAATAAATTAAGATTTCAATTATTGTATCAGGAACATACAAAAGAAGAAAATGCCATACAACTCTCATGGACTGAATCACTCTTCTCTAATAGATCATTATGCTTTTTCCTCTCTTTCTTTCCCATTAAGAAAGGGTGCCAGTCACTACTACTAGCAAAAGATTAATTAGCAAGAACTTGAGCTCAACATGAAGTCGTAAAACTATAACAATTGAAATAATAGAGACGTGGTGGCAAGAGTCACAAGAATGGAGGGCTGCACTGAATGGATGCAACCTCTTCAGGAGATACAGTCAGGGAAGATGAAAGGAGGGCTGCCTTCTGTAATAATTGAGCTCTTCCAAGGAATGTCAAGTATCATAGTATTTACTCCAGATCACGTAATCAAGATGAGAAAATAAAATAAAAAAATCAATCTTTAAACAACTGAAGAAAGTGACTGGACAATAGATTCCAACTTTTACAGTGTAAGGGAGAACAGGACTTTTCTCCCCCAAGTTGTCTGATAGAAGTGAAACACAGCAGGACACAAGCAGTTCAGCAGATTTCTAGAGGGTGTCAGGAATGTTTCTTGATACTGGTTTGAATGGGCCAACAATGGTTGATGCAAATCTGGATCTGCTAAATACAGATGGTAGTACTGATCACAACAACTGCAAAATACTGGTACTTAAGATTCTGAGAAGAATAACATTGAAAAGTTAGCAGAGAACAAACCAAGAAGAGAAGTTTTGGCTTATTCAAGAAACTAAGAGTTCTGTCGATGGGAGGAGGCAGCTTCAAGGAGTAAAGAAACTCAGGAAATGTATTTAAGGACAGCATTAGCCAAAATCAACTATTCATCTCAATACTCAGGAAAACAACTGTCAGGTGAGTAGCCCAGGTGGTTCTAGTGAAACTCCAGCACACAAAAAGGCAGCATACAGGAAGTGGAAGAAGGGAGAGGTTATGTGACAAGAGAAATACTGCAGTAGCCTTTTGTGTCCTTTTTAACATCTACAGCAATCACATGGAGGAATGAATCATAAGCCTGCACTGCAACTTACATGACTAGTCAATATACTTGGGAACATGAGGAATTTGCAGAGGCTGAAGAAATGAACCAACATGCCCTAGGAAATTGAACAAAGATAAACCTCAAATCCCGTACTTGAGAAGGAAGAACACCTCACAATAACACTGCAAAGTAGCTGGAGTTTTTCCTCCTCTCCTTAGCTCTTGTAGTCCTGCATCTGCTTTTGGGTCCCCCAATGAAAGAAAAGAATCAACATTCTTGAGTGACTTCAGCAGATGGCCGCAAAATTGTCTGGGGGATGGAGAGCTTGACACAGGTTGGCTTGTTCAGATGGGAGAAGAGATGGCTTCAAAAACCCACAAGTAGGTCTGGATAGGTTACACAGAGAAGGCTCTTTGCAGTGGCGTATGGTGGGAAAATGAAAGTCAATTTGAAACTAGACCAAATACGAAGAGAAACTTCTTTTGCATGAGGAGAGTCAGGTATAGGAACAGGCTGTCCAAAGAGATTGTGCTATCTCTGTACTTGGGAGATTTCAAGACTCAACTGGATTAGTCCCTGAGCAACTCATTCTGACCTCATTTCTGGCCCTGACATGAAAATAGTAAGTCAAACCATGGATCCCTTGAGGTTTCTTTGAAATCAAACTAACGTAAGTATCATAGAAATTTTTTTGATAATTACTGAACAGAAGAAACACTTAACAGAATACATCTCTACCTGAATATATAATCTTAATTTGTTTTTAATGAGAATTCATAAATTATTTACTACACACAATCTTATTAAATACCATTTTTTCCATCTGTAGTGTCATCTCTTTCTACTATTCATTTCTGACTATAACATAGAATTTAACCAAGACTACTAGTGCTGGATGAACATCTCTCTCTCAAAAAAAGAAATATACTTAAATTATTTTTCCATGTAGTATCTCTTTTCTTTTATTTTAAAATATAAAGCCATTTAAAAGCAATGCCAGCAAAATTTCCACCTCAATTTAGGAATTTAATGCTTTATGAATCAGCATGGCTCTAAAAGGAGATCATAAAGTAGTACAATAACTGTACTGTACCATAAACTTTTTCCAAGTTATTAATTAAGTTTTGACGGGCTTATTGGTATACTCTCATATGTGTACCAATTTGAGTGTCAGCAATAAATTACAATACACTATTCCTGACATTCTGGGATCATTTTAACTAGAATAATATCCACATTATCAAGACTACACTTCCCCCTCCCCTCCCACTAGATTAACAATGAATGTCAAGCATACAAAAAAACCTCTTATTATACTGTATAAAGGTGAGCAAGGCACATATGTTTGCCGGTTGGGCAAAAAATAGCAATAAAAAATAAATGCTCTTCAAACTTAAAAAATTTTTTTTAAACCATAGTTCAAATTGTATGTTATTTAGTTCTATAGTTTAATAAATTTTCTATACTCTTTAAAAAAAATACCTTTAAATACTTAAAACTGAACCCATTTTGGTATTAAGCAAATAAGAAAGATTCTGTAAGTAAGATTCAGTCTTACTATCAAGATCAGTTTTTGCAGACCTGAGAGCACATCAGTAGAAAAAGTTCATGTTTTTCAGTAACTAAGAGGAAAGTCAATGTTATCAGGAAGAAGGGGAAGCTTTTGTTGGCATAATGAGTGATGTTACTTCCTATAATTTCTTCACTCGTGACATCTGTATGTAAAAGTTTCCTGTTGCTTCTGATCTCTAAAGATCTGTGAGACACTAGAAAAAAAACAGCATGCAGTTCCAACTTCATATTACTTCTAACACCACTATCTACAGAGGTTTTCATTTTACTCACAGCACAAGGAAATGTAAGCATTCATAAACATTTTTACAGCTAGTAATATAGCATAATCAAAATAGCTAAATCAACAATTGCTGCTCTTCTTACTAAAGTCTCTGAAATAAGGACCTTAAATTCTTGTACATCACTAAAAGCTGCCATTTAGTATCAGAAACATTCATCTATTTGTCTGTCTTCTCATTTCTACATGAAAAAGAAAGTTCAAGGCAGCATTTATGATTAAACTAGTGAAGAATTAACTGTACCTTCATATCCTTGTAAAGAAGCAAATTTCCTTCCCGTAGTACAAAATAACGCTCTTGAAACTTGTTTCCAGACAGCAGTTTTGAAGGTTCTTCTTTGTACTTTAGATAGCCAGCTTTCACACTACCCTTCACATTTCTCTCTACCAAGAAAGTAAAAAACTCTTTGTTAGAATCTGTTACAACATTGGAAACAACTACTTTATTTTTAAGTGCTCTCAGTATTAGTGTTTATCAAAAGACAAAAATTACACTTCGATTTTAGTAATAATGGCACTCAAATTTTAATAACATAATGATTTTAATTATTGGTAGGAAATGTATTTTAATGTTTACTCCTAAGATAACACAGAAAGAATTCACCAAATAAATTAAAAGGATCTTCTCAGAAAAGAATGTGCAGCTACGTATACAAAATACACAAAGAAACATGTATTTAGTATATGTACATATTAAAATAAAGACAGTAGTCTGCTTCATAAATAAACTTTGTAAAAATAAAAAGCTTTTATTAAAGTAAGAACTACTGAAGCTCATTACTAATACATATAAATTACTCTAATTCCACTTCAAGGTGCCTCTCTTTTTCCAGTTCTTTCCTATATGTATATACACACTCATACATGCTGGAAACATACTGTCAGCATGAAGAAAGAGCAGCCAGAAGGAGATAAAGTCTTCTCCTCCATTCTAGACAACATTTCATCTTTAAGAGGGAGCTATATACTAACACGGTAACAAATAACTTTCACTCAAAACATTACAATCTTACTACTTATTTTGGCCATCAATACTCATTTTATTTTTCTAGATGTACGTAATTCATTCATTTATTTTTGAATTATTGAATAAATTTTCTTAGAAATCTTATGATACTAGCAGGTTTTTTTTACAGCATACTCCTTTCAAGTTAGTAAACAAAACTGTGATGCAAAAAGAGTATGTAGTATATGGAGTACAGCATCCTAATTCAATTAGCTGGTTCCACTTAGGACTTGATAAACAGATACAAAAAATATCCATTATTGTGAAATAGTACACACTGTAATCTCAAAAATAAGAATAAAATGTTTTAAATAAATCAATCATATAAACAACAAAATGCATTTTCGTTTGATCAGTTAGAAAAATACAGAGATGACTTTTCTGTAGGTTAAACCTATTGCCACAGATATTTTTTCCAATGTGAAGAATAGTATTACACAGTAAACTACACAAATAACAATGCTTAAGAAGCCAGTCTGGCTGTAGTGTACAATTATCAGAAATTGCATGAAATATCACTAATGATCATAAAAAGTAAAGTCTAAGACAAATGCATCTCATACTGTTTTTAATTATTTATATTTAAATATTTATATTCTTTGTCCTCCCTTGGAAGAACATGTAGATAATTTTTCCACACAATTATTTAGGAAGGACCCCAACATTCAAATAGTGAGATACATACTAAATACAGTTTTATATGCACACATGTGTATGCACAAAAAGTAAATAGGTAACATCCAGATTCAGACACCTGATTATTCTGATTAACTCTATTGACAAAAGACAATTAAAAACTGCGAATCTATTTCCCTCTTGTCTTATATCTTACCACAAACTGGAGTTTAGAAATACTTTAGAAAATATAGTAGAAATTTTAAAAGGTATTAAATTTCTTTGATTTTTATCAACTACATTCTAATCAGCATTTTTGCGTTTAAAAGAAAATCTCAACATAATATTTCCCACTATTTTCTTTAGCTTACGACAGAATCTAATGCAAAAAAATCAAAAGTCTGATTTCCTCAGCTCTCGGTGCAAACATACAATAAAAAAACACAAACATGAGCATATTTCCTCTCTGCCACTAAGAGAATTTGTTTCGTATTCAGAGGTATTCAGAGTGGAAAATGAGTCCTTATCCACACCAATGCAGGCTTTTTTTTTTTTTTTTTTTTTTTTTAAATATACCAAGTGAGAGAAGCAGAATGCTCTACCAGTTGGAATATTTTATATTTCTACACATAGCTCTCAAAATGATCAACAAGACCTAAACTTTTTAGCATTCCCACCTTAGCAAATCCAGGAACACTCAGTCTTGCAAAGATCTGTAAAAGCCTGAAAGAGGAAAAAATATTCCTCTGATTTATGGTTTTCTGTATTCCTCAGAAGTATTCCACACACAAATCTAAAATGATCAGTCCACATCCTATCTATTTTTCAGATATAAATTTTGTAAAGAACATGAAGCTTTCCAGAATTTTGCAGCTACTAAGAACTGGAGGTACTTAATCCATTCAGGTTTGATTCACATTCAGTATTGAAGTGTTACAGAGAATCTCTCTGAATAATAGCCCCTGGTTCTCAGATATCAACACTTCCCACTCAAATTATACAACTCTTTACCAGGAAAAAAAATCAAGTACTTTTATACACACTTTATAGTGAATCCATTCCCTCACATTTTTCTAACAAATACATCTTTAATATGGGAAAAATTCAGGTAAGGAGAAGATAAAGGGTCTCGAAATAGAACTACACAGCACAGAGTATCTCTCATACCAAAATGCAATGCACACCCTGCCCTGCAGAACAGCACTTCAAAGACAGCGATTCTGCAACAGGCATCAAAAGCTATAGAATAAATTGCCAGGAGAGAAGTAAAGATTTGGAGGAAAGTATAAAATTCACAACAAATATTCTGAAACATATCAGTAAGAATAAACCATTTCTTTTCCATGAAAAGAAAAACTGATCTCTAAACAAGAAAAAATATAAATCTATACCTCACTACAACGTTTGGTATTGCAGAACATGAGAAATCAGTTTAAGATTGAGAAAAAGAGTGAAAGAGTTAAGAGAAAGGACAAAGTATACTACATATAGGAAACATGGTAAAAGTTTCATTGACAGGAAAGGCCCTGATAAGTTGCCAGAATAAAATGAGGCTAAAAGAGTTGCTTCTATAGGCTCACTATTGAACTAACATTACTTCAAATATCATTAAATATCATTTCTCTAGAAGAGAAATGCTGATGATACAAAACTCTGAAATAATATTAACAGAAAAAAAAAAGGTCAGAAGTATCATAATTTATGAAGATTCTAATACAAATCACAGAAGAAAGTAAAATTCACCAAATTCAATTATAAACGTAAATGTGATCACAGTCCTATGAATTTTAATGAAGAGGAAGAAAACCATCAACTCAGTAGTCCATTTGTATGGGCTGAATTCACTAATAAAAACCACAATATGAATAACAGCAGTTGAACATCTGGACTCAGTCCAACTGTCAGTTAGTGATGAGAAAATATCTACATAAAGAGGGTAAAAGACTGACAAGATCATTCTCCCTACTGGCCTGCAGATTTCTTGTGTACTTTGCGTAGGAGATCTTCAGCATAACCACGACTGCTGCCTCCCTCCGGGAACTGAAGTTGTTTCCCCAGTGGCTTAATTCTGTTCTTTTATCATTTTAACAGTGTCTAGTGATGGAAGTTCAGTGCTGATTTAAAGACATCTTTTTGCCTTGAAATAGATGCTTATATGTTTTCAGCATGTACAGGTACAAGACTAGAAACAGAAACAATAAACATGTAAATTTCTGCAACTACAAAATTATTGATTCCGATCTTCTAGGCAATTTTGCCTACACAATACATACATTGCCTTGCTGAAGCTAGTGAATCTGTGCATTAGCTGCTCATTATTGTTAATATTTCAGAGCAAATTTAGGAACTAGTCTCGGAACCTCTACAAGATACAATGATTATAGAACTATTTGTATTTTAAACATTTTTATTTTCTCATAGTAAGAAGCATTTTAAGAAATTAAAGCTTTAGAAATTAAAATCTGTTCACCACATAAAAGCTCCCTAGAATAGTGATTTCATATTCAAGAAAACATGTTTGTTGTACATGAGGTTACTCTGAGATCAATACTGGAAGTTTGCAATATGGCAGAAATTTAATAAATAAGATTTTAATTATTTTAAGACTAGAAAAAGGAACCAATAAACGTAAACACGCAGTCATCAAAAGCCGGTGTGTCTGGACTAAGGTCAAACTGAAAAGAATTGCTTCAAACTCAATTACTGTGATGGACTGGGGGAACAAATGGGTATAGAAAGCAGGAGGAAAAGAAGGTGGGCAAATGTCAGCTCTCCCCTTTAGATAGTACTACATTTTGTAAATTGAACTTCAGACACTAGCCTCATACTTATGTGTTTCTTAGAACAGTAGTTCACACACATTCCTTACAACCCATTTCCTTTTACTGATTATTCCTCAACACATAGTGAGGTGATGGGAGTTCATATATCAAGCTTTTAATGAAGTAGGCTATTTCACTCTATTCACTATCAGCTGCAACACATTTAGAGATAGTGAAACTCCAATATAAAAGCCATGAATAACATACTTGTTAAGGTTTGTTCATATCTGTGGAAAAGAGAATGATGAGAGAAGGCTATTACTTTCAGAAGAATAAGCATAACAGCATAACTTTTACTTCTTGAAGACATAACAGACATACTGATGGAAAAATTAATATTTCTTTTTATGGTGAACCATCGCATGCTTTACTGACAGCATACAGATTTCAACTGCTTGAAAACAGAAAAGTCATTTTTGTGCATGTTGAACTTCTGAACTGCTTCCCTCAAATTAAATGCTGAATGTTTTTAGATGGGAGATCTAACTCCAGATAAAACACGAAAAAAAAGAAAAGTATCACTGGAGTAGCTCATAAAGTAGAAAATTGGGATTTACATTTGAGCTGTGTTTCCTTTCAAGTGCCAGGTCTAGTTCTTCATCCTTTCAAACAGCCACATGCTGTACAAAAATCATTTAGTTGCTTATGTTACTCAAATTAGTTTGGAGGCATCAGATTACATAATAGAAACAATTATGTTTAATATATAACACACACTACGCATACATGCATGTATCTAGTCCACCGATAGAAAGTTCAGTATTTATGTGGAAGGACTGTGAACACATTCACAAATTGTAAACAGAAATCATACATTCAGCTCACATGTATGTTCACATGGCATGCATCATTTGCAGAAATTATGTATGGTTTTGGTTCTCTGTTTTAAAAGGAAGTCAGTACAACTGTTAGTGAAGCACAAGCTTTTATAAAATACTGGTGATTCAGATGTTCTGGGACATTTTGCTTCTATGAAACAATTATGAAAGAATTTTCATTTCCTGTACAGACACAAGGATATTCAATAAAAAAAATACATACCATTGTAGAGTTTCATCATGTCTGCTGTTAAAAATCTCTTTATTATCAGATATGCAGTGCCGGGCTCTGGTAGTGAACTCCAGTGAAGAACCTGTTCTAGAACATTCTCTGTGTAATGCAGTGGACGTTCTGAAAAGTTTCCAGAAAAAAAAAAAAAAAAAAGTTTAAATAAAAAAAACTATAGGCCCTTAGAATTTACAAATTCACAGTTTGCATCATTCAGGTAATAAGAGAACAGCAGAAAATCTGCTCTCAAAATAAGACAATTAAGCACTTCATTGACTTTCTGGAGCAAGACCTTTGCAGGCAGGATCTGCATAGGTAATGAATACTAAATTGAACAAGCAGAAGTCAGGTGTTCAGCAATTCTTTTGTGTTTAGTTTTTAGTCTTTCCTTCAGTAAAGGTGCTAAAATGCTGCTTTCAAACAAACGCAAAAGTTAGATATTATTACAGGGCATATATAAACAGTAAGACAGTATCGAGAGACATAATGGGCTATAATGGGCTTTGTTGGTCTGGGCTTTATACAGAAATGAATTGTCATAGTTCTCAATGTTCTGCAATTGAAAAAAAGCCAGAGTATTCAGAGCACAGTGGAAAAAATAAATTAAAATACCCTCCCACATAGACTACACTGTGTGTTAACAATCAAAGCAGATTGAGACAGACGCTTGATTTTGCTTCATTCCTTTAACTGGAGGGGAAGAACAAGAGATCTTTTTCTCCCTTTTTGAGACACTTGAATTGTGGAGACATACATTTGTTGTACGATTCATCCAAAAAAAAGCAACTTTGAGACCCTTTCATAGAAACACCAGTGACACAAAAGCCCAACCAGTACTCTATACAAAACACTCATTTATAAACCAAATGAATGTTGGAAACACTTCGCAAATAGCCCCTAAATTTGCATTACCAAATCAAGCAGAATTGTGAACATGACACACACACTGCAGCCTCATGTATCACATTACACACATTGATACAGATCTAGGGAGGCTGCATGGCAGAACCTCCCTCTGTACAGTACCACTGTAACTGTTTCCATGCACACGACCAAGCTGGCATGCAGTAAGCACAGAATATAATCTATGGAAAGCACAAAGATTTGACAATGGCTTTGCAAGTCACAACTTAGAGGAGTGGATGCAAGAGTCCTTCTCTCCCCTAAGGCAGATTTTTCCTCAAGTTCTAAGGTCCCACCTTCTCACATCTAATGTGGGTCAAGCCCTGAGAAGACCTGAATGCAACTCCTGGAAAAGCACACCTGTGTGACATTATTGTGTAGAGTCAAGCAGTCTAGCCCTGTATCTCCTGGTAGTCAACAGGAAAAGTAAGGTGCCATAATCTCATTTATCACTTCTGATAGGATGAATGCGATGAAATGTCACCAGCTGCTCTGGGACTGTCCAGCACCACATTCTAGCAAAACATTTACCCAAACACCATAGCTCTAGAATGTATCAGCCACATACAAGGCAATTTTAAACAACTTAACTATGTTTGTTATATCACTTATAGCCAGATTTTATTATGCAGACTTGAAAACAAGACAGCCTAACAAAAATACTTTCTCAACAACCATTTTATAACTCCATTTCTTCTGGCTCTTTTGTTTTAAATGGTCCAAATTTTTAATTTCATTTCAACTTTTGGGAAACTGTTGTCTCTTTGATGTGCTGAAGTCAAAATAACTTGTTGTCTTTGTACAACAGAGGAAAAATCTATTTTAAGGAGAGTAACTTTGGAAATCAAAGGCAGCAGGAAACACTGGCAATTCACCACAACTTCCTAGAACACCAGCATTCCCAGAGTAAACACCTACTGTTTTATTTATAGTTACATTTAAGACCATCTGTCATCATGGATTACACAGTACATAAATCATCAAGCTGAAATGCATTAGCTACTTTACTGGCAAACCAGCTCATTTACAAGCTATCCATCAAGTACAATTTACTAAAAGAAATATACATCTTATTTCATAACAGCATATGGTATTAAACTTTGTGCATTAGGTTAGATAAAATTATCAATTATTTCACATTTTCTATATGCAAATAATTTAGTTGATTTTTAATACCACAATTTCAGTATTTTGAACAGCAAGCAGCCAACACATGCATCCAATTAACCTTTTACTTAGGTCATCATAAGCTAGCAAATATCCCAAACAAGTCATTTTAGTCTGAAATTGCAACAAATATCAGGCGAAAATTACTTTTTAGAAAATACAAGAATCTAATTTCCTTGAATTCTCAGGGTTCATCTCCAGGGCAGTATATCTTAAAAGACATTTCAGGAAAACTAAAGTAAAGTAACTTTCAGAAAACTTTGGGATTAAGCAAAAGGAACCAAATATCACCCTGTACCAGACAGGTACCAGATTATGGCAGGAATTCTCACAGAAATTTATTTTCTGCTTGTAAGACACTATGGTAACTGATGTACATTTGAGTAAAATAAGCAAGTATTGTTTCTATCCTGTCATATCAAATATTCAAAATACTTGTAAATGCATTTGATTATGTAACTCTCAATTAAATGACCAATGTCACAAGAGAAACGAAGTAGGAAAGATTTACTGTTTTAGTTATTCAGTGCCAAATTTGAATCAAAGATTGCAAGTAGCTATCTTTCTCTATTAGCTCATTTCTTTTTCAGCCTTTTGAAAGTCTGGTACATTCAGTCATAGAACCCTCATTTTTATTTATTCATTATTCATTTTATTTCACTTTGATTCTACCACAGAGGGATCCATGAGGAAAACTATCTACAATCCACAATAATCTAGACTGGTGAGAGATACTGAATTAGTGCTTTATTGAGTTTGCTGTATTTTTTGTTTCACTTTTAGTATTTAGTACTAGTCATTTTCAACTTTGCTTCATAAATCTCTTTTATTTCAGTGGGATACACTAACACCCTACCAACACTGACAGTCCTATATACATATATATACTACAGAGTATCTCTGTAAGCCTAATTTTGCCAATCTTGAGAAGATATTAGCTTAGAATATCTTTTAAGGCTACATGAAAATACTGATTGCTACATGCAGATATCTCAAGAATGTACCAAAAGGTTTGTCTGTTGTACTTCTTAGTAACTTCTCTTGACCATATCACCTTTAGTTTTCATTTGCTTATAAGTGTTATACAGCAAGTTTACAAAAGTTGAACTCCCTTTTCAATTATTTTCCATTACTCAGTTAAAATAAATAACATTTTTAGGGGTCTCATAGGAATCATGAGGACACTTGCAAAGATAAGCATTGTTTGTCAGTTGACACCCACATATATAAACAATTTAATGAACTCTGTGTTACAAGTCTACACAGCACACCACAAGACTGTAACACGCAAGAGATGCCAGGATCATTTAGTTGAAAAAAAAAAATAAATGGAGAATACATTTTCATTCCCATTATTGATGCTGCCAAGGTCAAGACTGAGTGCATCAAGAATATTATAACCTCTTTAGATTTACTAGTAAGTATATACGAAGATAAAGAACAAAAATACTCAATCTATGTTATTTTTTTTCTATTTTTTAATAGATTTTTCTGAACTTGAAAATAGCTACCTCCAGTGCAGAAATAGATTAGTCCACAGTCCACTTCTGGAGCATGGAAATAATACTAAAAGCAACTTAGTTAAAGTACTAACAGAAGTTGATTTTTGCTAAAAGCATATTTCTGTCCCTCGGGTACATATGCATTTTTTAAATCAGATGACATTAGTGAGAATTCAAAAGAATAAGATGCCTTAACAATAACAGAAAAATTGCTATCTTGCTATTTGAAGATTATCTCTAATAAAATAAATAATATCTATAATTATTAAAAAAAAGTTAATAGCTCTTTAACCTTTTGATTATATGTTGAAAGATAATAATAATTTAATGAATATGCATCACTAACCTAGTTCTCCATTTTCAAGTACTTCAAAAGTGGCCCAGATATCATCTTTGTTGGGAGTAATGTTTTTTATTCCTAAAATATCATTAGTTAATTCTTCTGCTTCTGTCAAAGGCGATACCTGTAACATAAATTCAGTCAATTTGCAATGCATTAAAATTACCATTTTCTGAGTTTTCCCTTCAAATCTTCCACAAAATTTGCTGAAGAAAAAAAAAACAAAACAGATACACAGAGTTGGAAATTCATGCTATTTTCTGACTACAGAATGCCTTCTATATTCTGTACCATGCAAATGGTATCATTTTCATCACTTTAAACTCTTTTTTAAACACTTTTTAAAAAAAAAAAAAAAAAAAAAAAAAAACAACCTAGGGTATTTTTTTCTAAGTATGGAAAGAACGACAATAAAGGTTAGTAAAAAAAAATTATTAAAATTATGTTAGTAACGAAGTAATTAAAAAAAAAACAAAATCCACAAAAATGCAGTCTTTTGATGTATATGCATACATAAATGTTGCACATATTTATATCATGTAGTATATACATATACATTTGAGAATCATGTGCTGAACAAAATGGAAATAAAAAGTTCAAAGGGCAAGGAAAGATACTGCCCTACTTTCATTTGACCATATCTATCATTATCCAAACAATAGAGTACTACTAAATGGACACGAGTGCATTTAAAATATGTCTGTAAAACACCAGACTGAAAAATCTCAACTACATTAAGTAGCAAGTTTTGGTTTTTCAGCACTCTAGCAAGGCAGGTAGTCACCAGCAAAATCAAACAAAAAAAAACAACCATACAAACAAAAATCCCACCAGGATGGTAATTTAAATGGTCTTTTAGTATTGAATAAAACCAGTATTCACTGCATACTTCTTAATTTTCTTCTCACAGCTCTAAGCCCGCAGCACAGAACTATATACCACTGTGTACTCCAGTAAAACCCAAGGAGAGTATGTCTGTTCTAAAACTGTATTATAACATTTTCTTTAAAAATGCTTAATAGGTCTTAAGAAAATTTAGGCAACACATTAAATAAAAAAAGATTCTTAAAAGAACATTGATATATATAAATTCATACTCTTTTAATGCAACTATATACGCATGTATGAAAATTATTTTGAAGGCAGTATGAGAAAGTGTTTGGTAAAAATCCCTTTTATACACTCACCCTGATTATAATACTACAGTCTGGCTCCTTTCTTTCTACATAAACTTCAATCAGCAGGTCTCCAGCCTGGGAAACCTAAAATAATACATAGTGACAAAAAAAAAAATCAGAAAATATTCAATATTCTTTTAATCTGGGAAAGTGCATTGATTACTTAGAAGATGTGCTAGCAGGTTTTGAACGTAACACCCCTTATCTACAAAAGACTCCCAAAGCTGAGTCTAGTGGAAAAATCTGTACGACATTCATTAGTGAAGTGAAAGAAATCATATTTCTCAGATTCAAAGGAAAAATCTAAACCCCGACTAAACCCAATATAATCATATTTAAAAGCAAATTTTAGCCAAGCTCACTTCATTACCAAAAAAGATAAACAGAACTTAAGACGGAAAAGGATGGGAAGCAGTCCCAAAATAAAATGAATCTGTTAAAAATGAGAAGAAAAGTTACTAATACCAGAATATTCCATTCCTAAACCCATTTGCACAAATTCAGATAATCAGAACTCATTACTGTGAAGTCTACAGTTATTATTATTGATTACAATGAATACATGTCATTACGTACTTAAAAAGGGGAATCAAAATACATGTTCTTGGTATCAATCTCCATTAAAGTTCTCTCTTTAAATTTGTTGGACCAAATATCCAAACTTCTATGTTAAGTAGTCAATATGCAGTAATTAGATGACAAAGCAAGTATACGACATAACATAAAATAGTTTAATATACTTAGTAGCAACAAATTCAATCAAAGAATGTGTAATAACATGAATCTTACAAAGAAATACAGATGTCAGAAAATTCAGCATTTAACAATTAAGGAGAAAAAGCTGATTTATGAAAGAAATTCTGTATTTTCTTGTTACCAGGTTGCTCAACTACGGCAATAAGACTTGGATGAGAAATTAATTTTCTGTAGTTAAAAATGTCTAGCTCTTTTCCTGCTCATGTTCCTTTGCAATATAATCATAAGCACCCCTTCCAAAGACTGTAATTCATCCCAGTACTAAAAATACTTTCAAAAAAAAAGAAAAAAAGATGATGATCAGAGCAGGGAAGAAAAACTAAGGTAGCCTTTTAGCTACCTGATAGAGCCTTTCAGCAAGCATATCATTTTACTAATATTACCAAGATAATGTTAATTTGATCATTAATTCTTTAAGAATATCAATTTGTGTCAATTCTGAGAAGAGTATTCATAGCAAAGTTGAAGATAAAGCCTAGGGAAAACAAAATCTGCATCATATGCTGAATAAATTATGGAGAAAATAATAAAAACAGGTAGGCTTTGGGATATATTTTGACTAATTTAGAGAAGATACATTTCCACAGAAAAATAAATGGCATCGCTCAATTCTGAAGAACATTAACATTATGGAAAATGGTGACTTTAAAGTTAGTTTTGCCCCTGCAAATAGAAAAATAATGGAAACATTTGTGAAAAAAAAAAACATTGAAAAGCTACTTTTAAGAAAGCTTTTTAATTATAGTGGCACAGACTCAAAAAAAGCTCATTTAGTTTTAAAATTTGCTTTTCAGATGGTATTACAGAAAAAAGGTTGAAAAATGAATGAAGTTGACATTTGACTGGGCTCATGTAAACAACTGTATGGAGAGAAAATGTACTGTAAATTACAGCTGCAAACAGAAACAGCTGGCCTAAAGATATGGTGGACAAAAAATGAAGAGAGCTAATGAAGTACCACCTGGAATGCAGTGACATTTCAGATGTAAGAACTTTAAGGCCTTCAGCAGAAATTTGGTTCAGTCATTCTCTGAACACTGTATCACCAGCCTGGGGATAATTCTATTGTAGAAACCAATGAAAACACCATGAAATAATAGAATTATTAACATAAAATTGAAAGTTTTTAATATGTATGTTTAAAATTGGTCTCCGACTTCATACTTAGACATTTTGATCATTTCTATCTAGCGTATGAAGCACTGAAAAGCATGTAACAACCTTCAAGTTATGTTCTGGCCTGAACACTGGAATAATTGCAAAGTCTGCTTTACAAAAACCATTCTACTTTATCAGTTCATGCCTCATTTTTATTTCCCTCAGTTCTGCAGTTAACAACACTAGTCACTATACAAACTTAGAAATTTACATTACATAAATTGAAGTATATAAACCTATAAACAACAAAACATTCTTTGTTAGAAGCATTTGCATTGCATTAAAGTTTTGCCACTTACCTGAGTGTCTTTCCATCTGGTAATAAAACTGTTCTCTATATCCATTTGTTTGATCTGGTCTTCATTTACCTGTTTAAAATTGAACAGTTTTATTTAATTAATGATTACAAACTACCATAAAAATTATAACATTAACTAGAAAACACTACAATGTAATAAACTGATAAATGCAAGTAGAATATAAAATTAGGTATTTATTACTTCTAGTAATCATGTTCTTAGGGAAACACTATAAAATATTCTGTCCATCAGAAGGACTATTTCATTGATGTGATCATTACTATGAACTTTACCATTTTAAAAGAGAGAGGGCTTCATGAAAAAATTGCCAAGCAAAATGTTACAGTGACAGTCTAAGCCAAAGTGGCTGAGATTAATTGCTGCTGAAAATCCAGCTGGATTCAGTGCACACTCAAGGCCTAAGGAACCAAAATTTATTTCCTCTAAAATTCTTATTGCAATCACAGCTCAAACACTAAAAACATAATTCTTCTATGCTTCAGTTCTGACTAATGTATAAAATCTGAATGAAAGTGTTACTTTTAATAGTTATCATCTCAAAGTTCTCTTAAGATTGTTAGCAATCATCAGCAGCAAGAGTGTGCACCATCCTGGGAAAAAATCGCTCACAGTAATTCTATAAATGTAGTCTTTCCTTCACAGGCTAAGACATTTGGGAAATAAAATTTAAAGCAAACAGTAAAATACATCCACTGAATTAGAGTTCAGTAACACTGCAAATCTTTAGACAGTGTAACCAACTCCAGGATCATCTCTAACATTAAGGACATTTCTATATTTTAGCATGCCTAACAGCAGAGCAATTAAAACACTTTATATAAAGATACCCACATCAAAAAGTTGCACATAATTTTTAATTAGATCTTCAATTACATTGACTTCTTCACTAGTCTGGCCTTTAGTTTGGAATAAGCAAGAAGAAAACACCAGGGCTAGATTGTGAGGGTTCATATGATTGATTTCAGAGCATTTCTGCACCCTGTTGAAGGAGAAATAAATATATTTAGATGATCCCATTATTCCTTTAGCTGTTCAGTGCTCCTCTAGAGAATATGAAGAACATTATAATAATAATAATAATAATAATAATAATAATAATAATAATAATAATAAAGGAATGAAAAACCTAGTGTAATCTATTACATTTTTTATTTACCTCTTTATATTCTTTATCTTGCAGCTCATTACGGAAAGAAAACATATGCTTTGTATCTGCACCTTGAGCAGCATCAAAATCATTTGTTACATTATTTATTTATGTATATCCTATAAACCAATCACCTTAGAGCAACAAAAGCATGGAAATAAATTAGGAATTCTTTAGTTTCTGTACATGCAGTGAAGTTCTCAGATCTACGTCTTCATACTGTAGTTTACATAAGATGTTCTCCTTTGTAAGCTAACAGAATTTTGCCTGTTTATTAAAATATATACAAACTGCTTTCAGAACATTTTAATCAGTATCTGAACTGAATAAGCTTAGAAAAATCATTAACTACAATACTTAGTGTAATCCTTATCCTAGTAAAAGTAACAGTCGATTTAGTAATTGTATAAATAGTTTTTAAATATCTACTATGTAATTGCTCTGAGTACAGAAAAAAAAAAAAAAAAAAAAGGTTTTCACATTTTCTACTCACAACACTTTACCAGGAATAATTTGAATATTCTCTTGATTATCGCAGTTGCAGTTGTGAAGTAAAATGATTAAATGTTTGACAGAGAGCTAAATTTGAAAATTGTCATTTCCAGTATAGACTGGGGAGAAGGACATTTCACCCCAAAAAATCTTTTTATCTTAAGAAAAAATTGCAATACCTTCCTGGAAAACAAATAGACTAGGGTGAAAAAAAAAAAAAATAAATAAAAAAAATCATCTAAAGAAGTTCTTGGACTCAAATACTGACAGCCCCCTATCACTATAAGACATTTCCATATTGTTGATATTTATAGTTACCTATTACTAAAAATATAACCAAAGAGACATTATAAGTTAAAGGTAATTGAATATTATTAATAATTACAAGATAAGCTCTTGATGCTTACGAGCTGATGAAGTGATCCACATTTTATTCATGGTGGTATTCATTTTATTCATATTCAATTATGCATTCCAGGAATTTTTCTGCTACAGTGCATTATTTACATTTACCTGTAAAGATGTTCAATTAAAGCAGCCAAAGTTGCCTTATTGACTGGTGGGAGTGTACGAATAAAAGCTCCGTACTTCATCACGCGTTCCTTTTCATTTTGCATATCTAACAGAAAATAACAATTACTGAGCCTTAACAACGTGTACTAAAAATCATCAACAATTCTCATGAACTATGTCTGCATCATCTACTTATTTTAAATTGTAATTTACTCAATCCCTTTCTTTGTGAAGACAATACCAATAATTTATTATTGTATGTTAGTTCAAGGAAAGAAGATCAGCAATAAGAGACTGCATACTGGGCTCATGAAAATCTTCACCAACAGACCCACTGTCACCATCGCCACAGCTGAAATGCACCCCCCTCTGCCTAACAGCATTCAGATCCATTGTTTGGTCTCCACAAATGTTCACTGAGTGTTGATAAGCATCAAAGGATGCAATTTTTTCTGCATCAATAAACTAAATGACACACCTTTGCTCCATACATACTTCCATGTCAGACACCATTTTGTCAGACTGCTCCTCTGCTGCTATCTGTCACATAGCAACAAAATGTAATGGAATAGTGGTGGGAAGGAACCTCTACTGCCATACCACCAACATCCACCGCTGGCATCATGGACCAAGATGATAAAGTAGGAGACATTACATCAACCCTTGTAAAAATATATGCTTCCAAAAGTATCCAGAGCTGAGGAAAAAAATATCTTTTCATCTGTGTTGTTGTTGTTGTTGTTATAAATTTGGAGAAATGTCCTCAGGTCCAAATCAGTTTAAAGTTTTAAAAATAAAAGACTAATAAGAGGAGAGGAAAGGAGAATGGCAGAAAATAAGGTGCACAAAGCTGAACAATGGCAAACAAGAATTCCAGTACTGTATCCAGTATCTGAGACACAGTCATATCCCTTTGTGTCTGCCTCTCTGTGCTGAATATAGCACAGAGGCTATGGAGAATAATCCTGCTTGGGGCAATTGTTTAGTTAATGTAGTATGACTATTTATTTATTTATTTATAACATTTTCTACTCTGCCATTGTTTTTCTCATGTTTCTGAAAAGAAAATCTGCAGAATTCCTCCAATCTCTTCCAGGTGATTGCTAATACTCTAAAGTAACTACTGAGCTAACCGTATTTACTGAATGACATGGGAAAAAATACAAACAGTTTAAAGGTGATATACTCTATTTTCCTAGAGGTTTCAATCTTCCCACAAGTACTGTGCAAGACACTTTTGTAAAGAAGGACAGGATTCTCTTCTCTAAAAGATGGAGCCCAATGCACAATTTTTAGCCCAATGCACAAATCTAGAAGCTAAATCAGTGTGACGCTGCTATGCACTTTCACAAAAGAGCTAACATCTAAACTGCTACAGATATGATTTTTTAACAATATTATTGTCAGTAAATAAATTAGTATTTCTTCCATTAATTTGTTCAAATAAGGTGAAAGATCAATATTTGTAGTTGAATTTCCCAAACTTATACTAACTTATACTGGAGAAACCTTCATATGCTTGAAATTAAGCTTGAAATTAATCATCCTTTTCAAAAATAAAGCTAGTCAAGCAATCAGTGGGCCTATACTATTTCAATGTTGTAATGCAGAAAGTAATGTTCCACCTTGTTTTTTCATATGCATCTCTAAGCATACGGTGCAAGTATTTAACAAAACTCTCATACTTGAGTACATGCAAACAACCTTTCTTGCATTGAGTGTTATTTAATATATTACCTAATGCAGAAATCCAGAACGGATAGAGTTCCTTAGTGAGAATTGCATCATCTATTTGAGAAAGAAAGCTTTTCAATACATCAGTCACATCTTCAAGTCGATGTTTTCCAGCTCTCAGTTTAACACTCCTTGCATCTTTTTTAAAACTTTCCAGCAGTTCAGCCACATTGGATGAGTTGCCATTCTTGAGGTATATATGCTTGCTACCTAAACCTAGGCAATAGAAATGCAGGATAGAATATAGAAATAAATATCTGTAAAATTGCATGTTCTTTTAGAAATTCCAAACCTTCTTACATGAAAAGTGCATCTGGCTTGTCAAACAGATCACATTTCTACAGATCACTAGTGTCTTTTGGACTTTTTGCATACTTGGTTAGTGAGAACACTAACAAGTCTATATTTGTAAATATACACATCGTAAAATTAATCAAGCCTTGGGCCACGACTTCAGGAATGTTTTACATGCAGCTCAACTACCCAGATCTCTTCAGTACTTCCCAAATCTATGGTCTGAAAAGACAGTGCAGGAAAGAAGTTTCAACGGCTGATACTGATTCAGCACAGTTATTAGTTACATTATTTGTTATCAGTACTCACACTATTTTGTTTTCCTACTGATCTGTCTATCAGAAAGCTCAAGATTACTAGAAACAATTACTGTTTCTTCTGATTTTTCTCAAGTCAAGGAAGACACTATGCAGCAACTAATAAATGGCTGAAAATATCAAGGCTAATTTAAAAAATTAAATTAAAAAAATCGTAGTCTAAAACACAGCAGAGACTACCTTCAATTATGCATATGAAAGTAGTCAAACTTTTTTTTTTTTAATACTTGTGGAAATTTTATGTGGATTCTGTTCCTCTATTTCTCTTTGTACAAGATTTTACTGTATTTCTCCACATTTCTTGAAAAAGAAAATCAGTATGTACGAAACATTGCCTTCCTTATGTAGTTGTCAAAAGAAGTATTCTGTCAAAACCTATGAATTTATGCCCTGCAATTCACTTTTCTTGCAATGCCCACAAGCACTACCATTAGATACTGTCTTTGTGTTGCTACTGTCAGGAACAACTGTTGGACCTGATAGTGTCTGTCATGAGTAGGACATAAACAAATTCATAGCCTTCATTACAACAACAAAAAAACATGTATGTCTACAAGTAACATATAACTCTCAACTTCCAAGTGAATAGTATAACATCCAGTAACTTTGATCCAGAAAAAAAAACTATACATAAATGAAAACTTAATTAAAAAAAAAAACAAACAAAAAAAACACAAGTATTAAGACATTGTATTTTAATTTAGAACATGTATTAGCAATATTTTCAAGTTGGGAATGCCTCTATCCTAGTTTAAACATCATTTCAGTGCATGAAACAGTGTAGATTATACTTTGAAAAATTTATATCGCTAATGATGAAAAATAATTTAGCAAAAACATTATTTCTTAGTTTAAGCCAACAACTGTAACCCAGATACAACTATTTATGATAATGAAGTGTTGTCACACTTAAAATTTAGTCAGATTCCAATCAATGAAATATAAATTAGGCCTTCTCATACTGACAGAGGTTATAGACACATCTATCCTGAAGATAAATTTGTGCTACGTTGATAGATATTTAGCATTTCACAAGAGAACTGATTAATTTGCAGCAGTGAAAAGGACACAGGCATAATCTTAACATCATCTAATGCTATAGAAAATTACACTGGCAACATTTACTCAAGCAAACAGCAAGTCATTATACCTCCCTAGGCTGCTATGAAAAATCAGCAGCCTTAAAACTGAATTTCGTTCCACAGTTAACATCAATTTCGTGGATTTGCCGATCACTTCAAGTCAGAGGTGTTCTTGCATCACATAGATTGTTCTCAGTGCTGCAGAGTTCTGAATTGAGGCATGGGAGATAAAGACTAATCTATATCAAGAAAATAAGTCAATTTTAAAAATACTGTAGTGGGCACGTAGGGGATTTCTGTAGTTGTACTTCCATGCACTTTTTTATTCTCAGTCACATGGCACTGTACTTTACCACCACATCAATGAGTGGTGGGGCTAACAAGAGGTATGATTTTACATTGAGTAATATATATAAATTCATTCAGTAATAAGTTCTTAAAGTGTAGTGATTTAACTGTTATACAAACTATCTTAGGTTGAACAAAACATGCTGTACTTACCATACTGTGTAACAAATGCTATACAGCTGTTCACGATAATAGGAACATCATTTTTGCTGAGCTGCTGATCTTGCAATGCATTACCATCTGTACCCGCTGCTTTTTCAATTGCAGTATACCAGACTATGAAATCCAGCTTCGTATGGCCATGAATGTACAGTGTTCTGGAAAGTTTAAAAATATTTTGAATGCACAGAAGAAAGGAAAATATGGGGTTATTCTACTATAACAGCATAGAGTTGTCCAAACAAATAGTTGGAATAAGACATTAAGGCTTCCTTCTACAACACAGGATTGTGGTGGTGGCCTGTTAACAGCACATTTTCTTCCAAGCTCATTTGTGCTAGCAATGTCACAATAAATAAACAAGGATCCACAAACAGATCTGTCAGACCTTTGAAAGGACCTCACCAACATTATTATTCCTCCTCAGTCTTTCTCTCACACCCTACATTCATATGCCAAAGTCACAGCTAAGTAGGAAATAAAAGACTCACAGACTTTTCTACTTTCCACCCTGCTTCTCTACAGTGTAGAAGAGATATATTGAACTTCCTTCCTTCACCTGGATGAAAAAAATCATCCTTGGGAAATTATATGTTTAAGTAAGGAACATATATGAAGTAACTGAAAGTTAAAGTATAGTAATATAATTGTTTAATTGCTTGCTTATCTCAAAGCATGGTCCTGTTCTGATTTTCTTATTTAAACAATTTTACTTGGGTAAGATCGTTGGCTTTTTTGTTTCTTTTGTTTTTGCTTGTTTGCTTTGTTTTTCTTTTGTTTGCTCTTTTAAAACCACTGTCAGAATAGCTTCTGGGGAAAGCTATAGAACTGAACAGTTTAAGAGTGTATGCTAACCCATATGCATGCACAGAAGAAACAATTGTTTTAAGTTAGCCTAGCAATCTTTTCTACAGACATACTCTTCATCTATCACTAAATCTACATTTTCTTTAAGATTAATATATTTTCTAATTAGGAAAATTGTAAATCTTCTTCTGAAATTCATTAATACTTTCCTCAAAGTACAATCAAATACTACTTTTAATTACCTGGGAAAACACTTTTTCTTATATAATATAATAGTGAAAGATTTCTTTTTTTTTTTTTTTTGTCTGAATCTTTTCATTTTGCATATTCATTTTAGCTTTATTGTCTTGAGAGGAAGTTAGGATGCAGTCAAGTACAAACTTGGACCCAAGATCTGAAGTGTTCTCAGGATCCATCATAACAATTTCACTATTTAGCAGCATAGGAAGATATATTGAAATATTTTGGCTTCCTGAAGACTCCTTTAAAAAAATCTCCACTTCTTGACAGTGAAAGTCATATTAACCACACATACTTGGATAGAAGAAACACTAAGACTCTTTTCCATTGGGAAAAATCAGGAATTTGCATAAAGCTCTCAAACTTTTACAGTGGAATGAGTGTGTCTGATTCAATACATTCAAACATTTCATGAAGATCTGACAGAATGGATATCCTACATAAGCAGTTCTCAAACATCAGTTTCCAAAAAATCACATCACCCTGACATATTTTAGTACTGTTATTACCATACACAGAGGAAATCAAACATCTTAAGTAGAAACAGAGTCTGCCAATGAATTTTACAATATTTCTTCAGTACTATTATTCACAGATCAGTAGAGGTTAAGACGCTGAACAAGAGACATGTTGCTTCCCAACACAAGGCATGCATGTTTATTACTGTCTTTTTTCCCATCTCTGCAGAACAGGTGGATTCACATTACAGTATTATGCAAAAAGAAAAACTGAAGCCTCAAAAGAATACTTTCTGTAATGTAAGGAATTATGAAAAGGAAGTAGTGAAAATAATATTTCTTTTCTAAAGAAAAAGTGGGCAGCTCAGTTGTATATCAATAAGTAGTATACAGAACTTTAATGCTAACCTAGGCATATCTATGTTTTCAAGCAGTGATATGAAAGTCTAAATCACATGCCTGTCAATCCACCTTCATGATATATGAATTACCTAAACTACAAGAAAAAGAATATTCTGATTTCTATGGATCTTCCTATCTTCTACTCAATAAATCACAAAACAAAACAAAATTATCAGAACTACCAAATGATTATGCTGTCACTGTTTTCTAAAATTTGAAAAGGTATTAACTTAAATAATGGACAAAGAGGTTTCTTAATAATTTTCAAAGAAAAGGCAATGTATTTTTAGGCAGCAATCCTATATTCATGAACTAAAGGTTCCTGGTAAAAAAAATGTATATATTTGGATGATACTGCTGGTACTGCAGAATTTAGGTACTGCAGAATTTAGATTGTTCAAAAACGCAACATGTCAGAACAAAATCTAGAATACGATTTGCCATTTCTAGGAAGAAATCAAGATCAGTTAATTATGAAAGCAGAACACATGAGAAGGTGAATGACCATCTTATTGTGGCATCAGAAAACAGCATCATAAAAAGTCAAGATTAACAGCTGAGCTGGAGGTAGTTCTAAAAGGCTTGAGAATATGCTCTAACAGCAGAGTGCAATAAAATTTCAGTGGATATAATAACAAGGATTGTGTTCCTGCTTTAATTAACTTTACTAAAGACATCAAAATGTAAACAAAACATCTTAGAGTTTTGAAACAATTCCAGAAGTCTATAAAAATCTAGGATTATTGGTAAAATTTAGGAAGCACACTACCTCAGATATCTTTAAAAAATTTTTTTAAAATGCCAGTTTTTGTGTTTTGAAAGTGTACTAGCCTGATTTAGCCTTTCATGATATTACTTGGCAATGTACAATGGTACAGTATGATTACCCTCTCTTATTTTTAAATTAGTAGTCTTCTATCACTGAACATAACAAATATGATCTTGCCATTTATTTTCAAAGTAAAAATCAGAGGAGAAAAGGATCAATCAAAAGAAGGGAAAGCAATTGAACTCACACTTTAGAATTCAGAAAAATCTTGTATATTGTCTCATAGTATCATTACTGAACTCTCGTATTTTACACAAGCTGCAAAGTATTATACACCTTCCTTGCCTTTCCAAATCAACTGTAAACTGCCTTTGAGAACTTATGGATCAGATAAACATTCAATTTATGTACCCCATGAATTTAACAGAAGCATAAATATACTAAGTATTTATAAGTCCAGAATTAATTGAATCTATTACATTATAATTATTTCAGCAGTAGGAGCTGAAGTTTTTATAATTCTATAGCTGTTTATTTTTTTAAGCAATCACTCATTAATAAGAAGTCTGTTTAAAACAACTTAAATAATCCTTATACCCAAAACAACCTAAAAGAAAATTATCTAAGAAAAAAGTGCATGGTACATCTAATGTACGATCTTCCCTGATTAATCAAATCCAATGACTGGGTTTGGTGTCCTGGGGAAGGGGAGGGTATGAGTATGTTTAATATAAGGGAAGTTAATCAGAGAAGTCAGTAACAAAACAACACAAGCATAGTATGAACTTCAGCAGGAAAATTCTCAAGGCATTTTCATAATTTCTTCTGATTAAATTTAGTAAGACATGGTAGGACATAGACAACATTTAATTCTATACACAAATAAAAAGATGCTGCAAGGTTTCCTGAGTGGTATTTTTTTTTATTTTTGAACTTTCCTTAAATCTGGAATAAGTCTTATTCTTTTACTTCATATTCAGTCTTGGCATAATGATTTTTGAGATTATATCACTTATCCTCGATTTAAGTGACTAATAAATCAGCATGAAAGTTGCCAGTAGCACAGCACATAAATTCATCACTTGAAGAGACCCTACCTAATAAAAACAAATTGGACGAGTACTGATATAAAATAACAGACAAAAAAGGAAAACCTAGGAACTCTGATATATCATTTAGATGGCAGGGACTTCTCAAGATATTAATTTCCCATTTGAAGGGGAAAAAGGAGTGTTGCTGGTTTTGTTTCCATATTCAAAAATTGAGTTTGAAGATAAAAGTGATTTTATATTTAGTCATTTCCCAGCAACATAAATTAATTTCTTATCACTATAAGATGAACTATCATACAGCTGTGATAAACACTTGGATATTTTGGAATCACATCCTGACCAAGAATCATTGTCCCAAAGGTCATTCATCCATATGGCTTTTAATGCTTAAGATAATGCAGAAGTTATGCTTTTTTTCTTTTTTCTTTTTTTTTATGGCATTCTTCAATGAAGAATACTTCAACATATTCATGGTTACCATACTTCAGCTAGTACTCCTCTTAAAATTATTTTTAGATAGTTCATAATTTCTATTTAACTACTGAAACAGTTCTGGGAAAACCTACTCCTATAAGTTATCACTTGTTAGTGAAAAGATTATAGTAAAAGAAATAATAAAACCTGACTTTGAGCTGGAAGTTTTGCACTGATATCTATGAAATCAGGTGCATTGCCTGTATACATCTGTTGGACTGTACCTTGGGCACTGGGTACCGCTTGTTCCTTACTTGGTTTGTGTAGCATACTTAATGCTGAATCTTTCAAAAAGCTTATTGGAGAGAAAAAACAACAACCAGGAAAAACAGGTTTTTATCTTTTATCTGTTCACGATCTACGTCAACTGACTAAAATCTGGAATGTAAGTATTATCTTAGGAAGAGTTAAAATTTATTGAAATAAAACAAGATACAACATTCTCCAACAGTTTTCTGTCATTCAAAATAGATTTCAAAGTCATCCGCTGTTTATATTTCCTCAACAGAGAGGCAAGATATCTTCCTTATTAACCTATTATCAGTTATTCAGAAGTCCATGTAAGAGCTGATGCAATGTTTACACAGATGTTTGCTCAATAGTCCATCACTGAAATTTAAATTGAATCTATTTAAAAAAGTTATTATTTTCAATAATTTTACTTTCATCTTTAAATCAGTATCTACATGAGTCAGAAAATTGGTATTTAAGTTTCAACATCTTGTTTCACTACATTTGATAACCATTTCAGCAAAACCCAAACACCAATATGGAAGCAGAGCGATCATGTTTATTTCTCAGGTATGCTTTTTTTTTTTTTTTTTTTTTAAGCTGATGTGCACCTGAGATTAGGTATTACAATAAGGTTAATCAGGAGACATGTATATCCTGCTGATCTTAATCTACACAGATTTCAATACAGAACTGTGGGACATAGAGTGATAAAATAGATGTGATGAACTGTCCAGAGTTACTCTTCACAAGTGTTCACACTTGTACACACTGAAAGAAGTTAGATCCTTTTGACAAAAGTTATTGGCAGATTAATATGACTGGGAATCATTTTCTCAGTGGAAAAACTGCATTTAATAAGCTATCCACTTTTAGCTAAGATTAGATAGTTTTCAATTTATCACTAGTAATAACTGAAGCTCTTTTCTTAACTAGTCATAGCTAAATGCACACATAATTATCCTAAAGCTTCCATCTCTTGTAGAGCCTACTTTTTTCCTGGCATCAGAATATAATCAATCTTTATCAAATATCACTGTATACTGTGCAATTTGGAATAAAGCACTCTTGCAAAACATGTTACCCACACAGATTAAACTATCACACAAATAAGATTCTTCTCAACTTTTAGGCAAAATACATCCCAACATGTCAGCTTAAAAAAATAACACACACAAAAAGTTTATTTTCCAGATAATTGATATTATAATACTTTAGTTTCATGGTAAAACTACTGATGTTTTGTGCTCCCTGACATGAACATGAAATGTGGTTAATGCACAGTCTTTCCATCCTTTAAAAATCTTCAAATTCACCCATTCTAGCAACAAGTGAAGAAAGCTCCGTGACTGATTAACAAGAATTCTAAAATATTGATTAAAAAAAAAGTAGACCAAAGCTACTTTGGAGACCTTACCTTCCTTTTTCAACAAGCAGCAGGACGTCTATTTTTTCTCCATTTTGCATCATGCTACTGATTGCTGAAAACCAATTACACATTCATATGATATACAAATAAAATATATAGACAACAACAGATGTGCTTTCAGAATTATCTTTGGTGACAAAAGGTGCATAAAATACTTAAATGCATCAAATATAAAATGCTACTTGATAACTAGAACAAAATTCCACAAAAAAAAACACAATAAAGTTTAACAATAGTTAAACAATAAAGTTTACAAAAAAAAAAGTAATATAGAGAGCAGTTAAAACAGGTTAAGATGGACTTTTTAAATGTGAAAACATCTACACTGAAATTAAATTTGTCAAGACAAATTTTTGGGATGTAATTCAAAAGAAAACTGGACTTTTAAACCCATTAATTTATTTGAATCTTTGTAGATATTTGTAATAAAATATCTTAGAGGAAATTCAAGTGCACCATGAAAATCACTGTCACTCTTTTTTACACTGTTTTCACAGAATCACAGAACTGTATGGGTTGGAAGGGACCTCCAGAGATCATCGAGTCATTGAGTTTTATGCTATTTCTGTTTAAAAACAAACAAACAAAAACAACTACATCCAAACATTGTAAAAAGATCTTCATTATCCATAATAGAAATAACATCTGGGTAGCTTTCAATAACAGAGCTTGTAAAAGCTGTACCATGCACTATGCTATAGTGCACTATACTGTCTAAACTTTTAATTCCAAATCAAGATAAAAATATTCACAAATTTTAAAAGATAGATAGAGTCACAACAGTATTCCTGATTAAAAACCACTCTTGTGGCATTATTTACGGTAAATATAAGGTGGCAGTAAATCAACAATAGAAAACCCAATGACATTTAGGAAATTTAGGTAGAAACAGTCCATAGTCTCACAGCATTCGCAAAGAGCACCATCAGTAAAAAGTTAAATTACCTCCCTTGTCTATGTTACTTCATCATAAAATCTCAGTTTATTTTTAGTTTCTTTTATAATATAGCAAGGAGCACTACCTCGCTCAATATAAAAACAAGTAGGGCAGATATGCTTAAACAAGATTCAAAACATTACAGATACTGATACAAAAAGACCATTTGCGTAAGTAGTCTTATCTATTCCACATCATGATATGAAGAAAGCAATATTTTTAATATCAGAAAAAAATCTATTAGTCTGTGAAACATTTCTCCTAGAGAATTATAATTTTTTCCAGTACATTTGAGTATTTTAAACTAAGCTTGTCAATCATCTCAAGAACATGTTCTGCAGTTAGCATTTCTGCAGTGCCAAAAATACGAGACAATAATCCCAAAAGGTCATATATTATTATTCAATCCTGTACCATTATAAGAAAGAAAATGCTGGAACTAAGTTGCAGTGCTGCAACTACACGAAATAGGGGAAAACATAACCAAGACAGAGCATGATTTACACCATGTTTAGACAGGAGTTCAGAGAGCAGCTAGCTCATGCAAAGGGATGGTCAGTGAGATCAGCAGTGTTTGTGATTTTAAAATGTAATGGCTATGTCCTTAGCAGTAGAGTATTTCCTGCATTCTAGATGATAACCAAAATTCTTACTTAGTTCTTGTAGCCTCCTTAGATATATGGAATCTTCTTGAGCACTCTCCATTTCAAGACAAAAATGAAGGCTTGACTTTTCTATAGCAAACCAGCCTTTTCTCCACTGATCCAGGTTATGGCAATCTTTGTAGTACAGCTGGCCAATCAGGTCACAGTCCCTCTCTAATAAGCATTCAGCTACAGGGGGAACAAAATGCTAGCAAACAAGACAGGGTGAGTTAGATTTAGAAAAACAACCAACCTCTTCCCCTAAAAAAAAAAACAAAACCCAGACATTGCAAACCTGTAAGGTTAAAAGACAAAAGCTGCAAAAAAAATAAAACTTATCAGATTTATCACTCAAATCTTTATATATGTTAAATTTAAGTTTTAATATTAAGTATAGCAGATTTTTCTCCATTCACACTACACAATTCAAATATTTTTTCTTTTCAAACTATAACTGTTTTAACAGGTAATATGACTGTTACCATTTGGTGCTATATCACATACAGTGTTGCTTTGTGAATTGTGTTTCAGAAAACAAAAGAATAGAATTGCTATGAACTACGAATAACTTAAATAATTTCATATAGCATCTGTCATAATAGAAAACTATTAACATATTTTTAAGGTCAACATTAAAAATGCTGTTTCAATTCTTGTTCTCATTTTATTGTACTATCTTGTTTCAAATGTTAAATCACAGAAGTATTCTTTCCTGTTTCATAGGAAACTGTTGCACATGAGATAAAGCAGTATTATACAGAATTGCAGAGATTGGAAGGGATCTCAAATGATCATCAAGGTCAACACCTGTACTAAAGCAGGTACCTTAAATAGGTTGCACAGATAGTTTCCAGATAGGTCTTGAATATCTCCTTGGAAGGAGATTCCATAACCTCTCTGGGCAACCTGTTCCAGAGCTCCATCACCTTTGCTGTAATGAAGGTCTTCCACATATTAATATGGAACCTTCTATGCTCAAGTTTTAGGCCATTACTCCTTGCCCTATCTCTACCCACCATTGAGAAGATCCTGACCTCATCCATTTCGTCTCTCATTTCCTTTCAGATATTTATTAACATTTATCAGATCCCATCTCAGCCTTCTATTCCCCAGGCTGAACAGACACAGGTTAATCAGCTTTTCGTCAGACAGGAGGATGCTCCAGGCATTTTATAATCTCCATGGCCCCCTGCTGGACTCTTTCTGGGAGATTCTTGTCTTTTGTGAAATGCGGAGTCCAGAAGTGGGTACAATATTCTAGAGGTGATCTCATAAAGACAGCTTAGAGGCAGAGGATCACATCCCTCAATCTGCTGGCCACTCTCTTTTTAAAGTACCCGAGGATACCATTGGCCATCTTGGTCACAAGGGCACACTGCTGGCTCACAGTCAGCCTGTTATCCACCAGCACCCCTTGTATTCACCAAGAATGACTTCTCAGAGGATTTTAAGCTATCAAAGCCATTTTAGTAGTCGTGCAAAGGCTCTGGACCTAACTGGAAAAGATGATTATCAGTATTACCTTAGCTATTGCCCAAGTCCATTTTCTTTGTGAATACGCAGTTTCAGCTCCAAACAGAAAAACACGTTCTGACATTAAATAGATTTCAAAGGTAAAGATGTCCCTAAAGCAAGTAGGGGAAAAAAGTAACAGTATTTAGTCTTCATAACTGTAGACATATGCAAACTCAATTTCTCTACTGTTCCATTGTTACATAGCTATGGAATGGAATAATTTCTCCTCCAATCTTACAAATACAACCAAGATAATTAACAGATTATTTGTTTAAAGGCTACTCCATAACATTTTTTTCTGCAATTCTGAAATCAATAAAAATGTATAAGTACAGACATTAAAATTCAGTGGCAATACTTCATTTTTTAAATTGCACGCAATCTCAGAAAGTATGCCATTGTAATGGTTTCAGAACATTCAAGTTTAAGCAGACCAAGGCACTGAATAGGAAGTTTTAAACAACTTGTCACAGAATCAGAAATGTTGGTTGACACGTTCTTCTAGATATCATTTGTTCTAGTCTCCTGATCTAAGTGGAACTACCACTAATTATAAACCAAGCTTTGTCTAGCCAAGCACTGAAAACCTTCAAGAATGGAGACTTTCCTGTTTCTTTTGGCAACCTGTTTCTCTTTGCCACCAACCTCCTCATGAAGAGGCTTTTCCTATCATTCACCAAAAGTTCCAGAGATGACATACACAGCAACTGACAGCCCTTGTACCACCTGCTTCCACCAACACCAGAACCGGTTTGGTTCTGTCATGTTTGTGACTAGTCCTTGGAGGTACTGTAGCTCTTAAAAAAATTTAAAACTATTTAAGTGGATTGACCCTGCTTTTTCAATTTCAACTATCAAATATTTAACTTTTTAAAAAAAGCAGTCCATTTGAAATCAGGAGAAATTTGAAAAGCAACATTTTGTAGATCTTTATTTATGTTGAAGACTGACCCTAAGGTTTGCCATTTTAGTGTGATTTTCTGTATGACCATGCCCTAGAACCCAAAAAGATTAAGCATGCTATCCCCTTTCAATGGAGACTGAGGATTGTCTAAATCTGGAAAGCTGAACATGGATCAGTTATTTCATCCTCAATGAGATCCTCATTTGCAGATGTTGCAAGAAATACATTATATTCCATTACAGAAAAAAAAAAAAAGTTTTTTTTCTTTTTTTTTTTTCCAGATGCCATAAGGCTAATAGATTAGTGAATACTATTTCCATTATATTTCATTATTTCATTGTATTTTGAGGCATCATCATTTTTCACTCTTTCCTTTCTGGACTCACTTTGTAGTGGGTAAGGCTCTTTCTTTCCTTTATACTTTCTAGAAACTTAATGAACAGACTTTTTTTCTTTTTTTTTTTTTCCCCAGACATTTCTGCTTTGTAGCTACAAATACCACAGTATTACACTATACAAAGATGTTATTTTACAACAGTACACACAGAGACAGAAATTTCAAAAGAAGTGCTATGGATTTTTTTAGACAGATCCAAAGTACAGACTGAAGTGTTTGTTTCAACAAACACATTATCTAAAAGAAATCAACAATCACCGAGATGCAACTCACACTTAAATGAAACTCTATGTGAGGTTTTAATATACCAAGTGGAGGTGTAAGAATATAAGAGAAAAGTGAGACAAAGAAAAGATATCTTCAAACTAACTCAGCGTTCAACAGCTACACTGTTGTCCTCAACTACAGAACAAGGAACAGTATTCGAAGGTTGACAGATCAAAACTAAAAAGATTACGGAGAACTCTAATCAAACGTGTTATTATCAGAAGCAAGCAAAGCAAAAGTTTTCACTTGAGGTCAGTCCTAGAAATAGAAATGAGTGTTAATTTTTCAGTTTATCATGCCATTTTATAAGTGCTAAGACCATGCATTTCAGTTTCAGTAAGAAATAGACATATCTGACTTATGATGCCTTTTTAAGATTACCCTAGTATTTTCATTATATCACCTTAAAAAAAAAAAAAAAAACAAAAACAAAAACAAAAACAAAAAAAAAAAAAACACACCAAAAACAAACATCAAACACAAATATAACTTACTTCTTGAAGGCAATATAAAATAATTGAGTTTTTTTTTTTTCAAAATTGCATGTTCAAAATTCAGGAACAAAATGATAGGCACTGACACCTATAATAGAATTTTGGAAATGTTTATTTGCTGAATTATTAACTTTGGAACATACCCTCTGTTTAAAAAGTAATCCGAATTGTGCACTACTAGACAGATAACTTCGTTGATGTCAAGCATACCATTAGGAGTGGTAGCTTTATCATTTTCATAGTAGCTGAGAAAGCCACTTTCCAAAGTGCACCATCTTTTGTTGCAATCTGTGGTTAAAGAAATAATAGATAAGTCAGTTGGTTTAATAAGAAACAAATTACCTCCTTCTGCAGAAGTTGCCTTACAGGACACATGGCTTTGTTGTAACATTAAGACATTTATGCTGAAATTTCAGTTTCATTGATTTCAGTGAGCAAGGAATTCAAGGTTTGAGTCGACTGATACTATTTAACATAGAGAAAATCTAGCATATGGTAGTTTAAGAAAGTATTTTTAAATATTATACTACAAAACTTAAAAAGTGTCATACATGATAAAAATTACATCCATCGTACACTATAAGAAAAACAAAGACACTATGTTATTCAATATTGTCAAAAATATTTTTAAACATATGCAACCAAAATAAAGATGTCAAACTGAAGAAGAAACAAACTAATTGAACAACATTTTCAAGATACAGCTGCAGCTGAACTCAATTCTCCTCTATTACAGGCTCAAGCGTCAAATAATAATGAAATTGTACATAATTTATGCCTAAATACTGGGGTAGATAAATGGAAATATCATAGACAAGTGGTAGTTATAGCTGTTTCAGGATTGCATGTTCATATTAGAATGTGTTGAAGATTTCTATTGTTGTTATTCTTACATGTACATGGCAAGGTTAAATTCATTTAAACAACACTGTAGTTAACAGAATGCTAATTAGTGCTTTCAACACGTGATAATACACAGATGCTGAGCAAGTCTGGTATTTCACCCAATTCATTTTTTGTGTTATTTTCTGTGAGTCATGCATATTTTTAGAAGTATCTGAATATTGTTTTCTTATCTTTTACTGGATATCGTTCTAGTTTCTATCTAGTTCCATCCGTATTCTATCTAAATAGACATCCAAATACAAAAGAACAAGATATTTGAAGACATATAGGTTTACAAGAGCTGAGCATAATACTTGAAGAGTTTGATTATTTTCCTTCATTTCCTACCCCAAAGTGTGAGCATTCTACAAAATGGCTCACTGCTTCAACACTGACTAAACTATTACAACCTTCAAGAATAACTTTAGAATACTATGGCTTTTAACAGAACTCCATTAAAACTTTTTCATGAAAAACAGAAGCAGAAAAATTAAACTCAGATCAAACACCATCTTTTTTTTTTATGATATATTGCATTAGAATAGCAGCAATGAGCTTTCTTCCTGCTGATCATTAACAGGTGTTAACTATCAATAACTTTCTCCCCCCAAATATACTGTGTTTCCAGGGGACTGGAGCACCTCCCCTATGAAGACAGGCTGAGGGAGCTGGGCTTGGAGAAAAGAAGGCTGCAATGTGACCTAATTACAGCCTTTCAGTACCCAAAGGGAGCCTACAAACAGGAGGGGATCAACTCTTTGAAAGGTTGATAACTGCAGGACAAGGGGAAATGGTTTGAAGTGGAGGGAGGGAAGATTTAGGTTGGATGTCAGGGGGAAAATTCTTTACAGAGAGAGTGGTGAGGTGCTGGAACAGGCTGCCCAGAGAGGTTGTGGTTGCCCTGTCCCTGGAGGTGTTCAAGGCCAGATTAGATGGGCCCCTGGGCAGCCTGGTCTAGTATTAAATGGGGAGGTTGGTAGCCCTGCATGTGGGTTTGGACATTCATGATCCTTGAGGTTCCTTCCAAGCCTGGCCATTCTGCAATGCTGTGATTCAGATGCTGTACCTAACTTTTATAGAAACTGGGTTCAGTTCATAGCACTGAATGAGTTCTTGAGTTTCTTTCTGCAGTTAAGGCTCAGCACACAAGATACCGCAAATTGCCTGTGTTGGCAAACAAAGCACTTAAATGTTCAGCCCTTGTCACCAAAGGCAAGACTGCCTTGACTCAGAAGGAAATTTTGAACTTAAAGCACTAATTTAATATTTAGAGAGTTCAAATTGATTCTGGCTGAGAGCCCTTTCAACAAATGACAATTAAAAGTCTACTCTTTTGTAGAGTCCAAAAATTAGACAAGTAATCTAATCCCCAGTTAAGAGCAAGTGATCCAATGATCTCTCTCTGGTCCAGTTAGAGTTCAGTTAGCAACAAATCACAGCTGCTTCAGCTGATGGGCTCCTTTCTATAACACTGACCAGATGGAACTTTTTTTTTCTGGGGCGGGAAGGGGAGATAATTTCTCATTTGAATATCTATTGGCCAAAGAGAGAACTCAAACTTTATCTCTTACAGATTTTTTATGATAACCACCAAATTATTTCCTGAAGATAGTAAGTAATAAAATTTCAAGTAATAATATGTAGTTTATGTTTGTATACAAAATGTATACAAAGGTATATATATAAACACACATATCTACTCCCAATAACTTGGGATATGCACATTATAGATTATTTTATGTTAATCAGATTCTATAAAGGTAGAACACAGCCCTTGAATGAAATAAAATCAGGTCAATGGGGAAAAAAAATTGTAAGTTTTATGTTGTAAATTGTTCTTAAAAAGTCATAATACTTCTTACACATGGCTGAAGAATATTAGAGTCCTCAGATAAGAGCAGTTTCTAATTCAAAACTAATTTTCCTAGTTGTTGCTGTTAGCCTTATTAAAGTGCTAAGTGAACTGATAACTAATAGACTACATGGTCTGAAAGCAATCTCATTTCTGAAGACTGACAAAATTCCATTGTTTCTTAAATTTTATGTTACCCTGCTAGTGAAGCTGACTACTGCACTCCTACAACATCTCCCCAACAAGCACAATGTAAGACATTCTGTGAGCTTTTATACATACTCTTAAATCTGTATCTGCTTACAAACTTAAACTGCACTTCTAATATTCTACTGTGTTTGAAGAGACACCAGTAGCATTACCTTGTACCTATTCTTCGCTCTTCCCAGTACTGTTTTTCCCAGTTTGCTTGTTTTCAAATGACAAAAGCATACGTATAACCATGCCTGCTCAAAAAAATAATGCTTCCTATCCTACTATGTTGGCCCATGATATCAGAGGCAGATGTTCGTGATATGGCAGTAGAGCTTGAACCTTCCCACCTATATAACATTCCATTAAATTTTGTTGCCATTTGACAGATAGCAATCTGGGGAACAATCTTACAAAATGGTGTCTGACACGGAAGTGCATATGAAGTAAATATACAGCACTTCTGAATTCTTCCATGCTAATAAAATGGCATCCACTGACATGATGAAAGATGAACTGCAGGGGCAACATTTTCCTAGCAACAATGCTTTTTAATTGAGGATTGGCTCCATCAAAAAGTGTTATTGTGCTCTTTGTATCTGTTGTGGTTCCCACAGAAATAAATAGAAGGCATTACTTTCAGAGCCCACCTATATATATACATATGTATATATGTATAATACACAAGCTGCAGTGAATACAAGAGGTTGGTGGTTAATTCCTTTCTTCCCTGGATAAACTCAGACCAGTTTCAGAGCAATCCACAAGAAAGTCCTTTCCAGCAGCAGCCCAGGGCTCTTGTATGATGTCTTTACCAATAACTGTTTGAATGCCTTGGCTGAGAATTAGTTCTGATGACCAGCCAATACTTTTGACTATTCGGACCAACATTAACAGGTAGATACTTCAAAAGTGCATTTAAGTGGGAGTTGTGTGTGTGCCTAATCTCCACTAAGGATCATAAAAACATAAAACCATCAGAATATGGATATTGGCATACAGAAATATTTAATCATGATTTTCTCAGGAATAAGTTTAAATCAGGAACTAGCTCATATTTTAAAAACAGACAACTTGTTTATTGAGATGGAAAAAAAACACAGAAATTTAAAAAGGGGAAAAATTACCTGTCACTCTGTCTCTCTCAATAATAGTCCTATAAGAATATGATTGTTGATGATATGTACTATGCTAAAGCACAAATTTCCAAACCACAAAGCTTAATCTTAATCAAAGCTTATAATTTATTTTATTTTATTTTTTTAAGATTTGCTCATTTCCACTTGGGATCCTTTTTGAAATTTGTAAGCTTGAGCTATATCTCAGTTATTCAATTGAACTTACTGAAAATATAGGAATGCTTTTGAGATTATTTCAGGAATATTATAATTTCAAATGGAAAATACTTTGTCAGCTAGCAGCATCCTCCTAGGTGTAATTCAAGTGAGAAGTATTTGTAAATACTTTTATTTATCAATAATTTTTAACTGAATAATTATTCCCTAGTTTAATTTCCTCTGTCAAGCACTGTACAAAGACATGAAGACAATCAGGATTTTCTTTATCTGACAAAAGTCCATGAAATCAAAAGAGGATATGGGAAGTCAAAGACATTTTATCTTTTTTAAAGTAATGCAAGATGTTGAAAAGTACCAAATTAATCTATATTGTGCATATTCATGTATTATTCAAATGCATAAAGTACAAGTGAAATACCTTCTTTTAATTTCTTCTCTGTAAGAAGCTTGGTTGAATTAGAAGAAACTTTGTATAGAAATTCACATAGAAAAGTGGAATGCGAAGAATCTTCAGAGAAGCAGCTTTCAAAACTGGTATCAAAGTTTGGGAAATCTATTAAAAAGACAAAAGAGTAAACAAAATATAGAATTTCCTCTACCATCAGTTATAACTGCTTCTCCACGTGCATAACTACACCTGCCAGGATAACTACACCTGCATAGCTACAGACACACATTTGCTCCATAAGCTCCTTGCTTCAGAACAGATGTATATTGGAATTTTTCTGTTTTTATAATTAAAGGAAAATTCTTACATATTCATCAAAAATAGTTTACTTCAGTTACCACATTACCATTGTCTACCACTGCTTGTCAACATAACCAAAATATGGTTTTCTAGCTTACCATACTAGATTTCACACCTTACTGTAACATACTTGAACAGAAGGGAACTGTTTCTCTTGAGGGCTTGTCTAGAAGTTCACCACAAACAGATGATGATTCAGAGAATCACTGGGATTCTGTCATGACATCCTCTCTCTGAAGAGAAGGAACAAACACCAGATCCACCACACAGCAATACTGCCTTGGCTAAAAGATCGCAAGTAGAAAACACAAAGCCAAAAGAAGCAAACTTCTTTCTATAGCCTTAGGGCAATTGTACAGCTTAACTAGGGGAAAAAAAAAACACAACCACACATACAGAAAAAAAAACAAACACCACCACTCCAAAACCCACCATATCTGTGTGTTTGTGTGGTGAATAGTGATTGAGCTCAATGACCTAGGAAAAAAACGCCTGGCATTTCTGACAAAATTCGGGTTCAAGGCACCTCATTTGCTCTGAAAAGCTCCAAGTTCTTCCAGCATTTCATGCTGTGAAAGTATGCTCCTTCTTACCCTCAACTTACCCTCAACTTTCTCCTCTAGTATGGCTTTTATGCCTAAGGTCTTATTCAGATCTGATAACACTGTTCTGCATAATACTATTAATAACTATCAGTCAATCATCTTAACCCATGAACAGTGAGCTGCCTGAGAGCCCCTAATAACAAGGCTGCATGTGACTTCCCTGGTTTCTGCTAAATATTGTGATTTTTAAGTGACAAAATTCTCAGGGTGGAATAGGTAGAATATTTACTTTACTAGAGATAACTTATTGAAAGGTTCTCCTCTCCAGAGGAGGTAAGCCGCCAGATGTGGTAGATAATTCATTCTATGATAGTTCCCTAAGTAATATAAGATCCAAAAATCCAATTATTAGCAAACAGGAAATCCTGGTATCATAAGAAAGAAACAACACAGAGTGTGGAGTGGTGTGGAGGTACCGTGGCCAACCCCTGCGATCATCCTGCAGGAATGGGGATACTATTCAAACTGATTAATTATCTTCACATCTGTGAAGGTAGTCACAGTGGTGATGCACTGGAACAGATTGCCCAAGGAGGTTGTGGATGCCCCACCCCTGGAGGCATTCAAGGCCAGCCTGGTCTGGTGGTTGGAGACCCTGCATATAGCAGGGGGGTTGAAACTAGATGATCACTGTGGTCCTTTTCAACCCATTCAATGCTTCTATGATCTTGTTTTCCCAAGCTAGCCCTGAGCTATCAGTTTTCCACTTTTCCATCAAAAAAATGTCATGCAGTATAAAAATGGTTTAAGAGAGGAGGAATTTAGGGGAAAATATCATCACAGTCAAGTCAAGAGGACACTGCTGAATTCTAGGTTTCTCACTCAACAGATTGAGCCTCTCTTCCTATTTCCTTGGAGGGATGCCTACTGGGTAAGATTCTCACACTCTGTTATCCCAAGATTTTCCCTCAGGAAACTTAGAAATCCTTATAGAGCTTTTCCATGATTTAATGCATTTGTGGCTGGCTGCATTATTTCTATTCTTGTGGTTAATCTCACATACTTTGCACACAAGTAATCTTATCTCTGGCAATCCAAAAGAATCTGTTGTTTTAATGAACTGCACTATTCAATAACCTAGGCATAGGAGTCCTCACTGGGCATGGTCAAACTCCTCAAGATTGATTGTGAGAACCCATTTAAAAGTGACAAGGCCAATTGGGCAGTGAGCTGCTTGTGAATATGTAATTGTGAAAGTTCATACGTTGAATGCAACCAGACACACAGCACCAAATTGAGCATAGCTCAGAATCTAAGTTCAGCTTTCCCAAGACCTTTGATATCTGAGGAGAAGCTGGAACACAACACAGTCTATTTTCTGCTAAACTTCTCTGCCTTTTTCATTCACTAAAAAAGAATTTGAGCTCAGCCTATCAAGTGCTACTTTGCAGAGTTTCATGAGACAATGGAGAGTATGTCTGAAGTTCCTGCTGGATTAGCATAGCTAGTTTTTTTCGGTACAAATCTGTGTGTGAACATTCATTCCCAGACTGCTACAGGTACTGGAAAATCTTCCAAAAAGGGAAGTCCAGGCACATCCATACAAAAAATTGATTTTATGGGTACCAAAAACTGATTCACTAAAACTATATTTTAAGAATATTTCAAGTGCCTGGAAAAAGTCACGGAGATCAGACCTGCTGACATCCAAGGCCAATGTTTACTGTGTGCTACATGCTATAACTGCAGTTATAACCTGAAAAAGGGTAGTTTTCTAGGATAGATTCTATGACAAGCTAAAGAGGAGAGTTGTAGGACTGTGCACAGTAAAGGCAGACATCAACAGAAATAACTTGTAAGAAAAAAAAAGCCTGATAAATACTTCTAATTCTTTTTTTTTAATTTATTCTATGTACCCATTCTTCTTGTTAAAGCTTAATAATACAAAGCAGATGATGTTTTTCTGCTGTATTATAAATAAGCGTAAGTGGTATGAGCCACTGTAGACTATTATCTTTTTAATAACTAATATTGATGTCCAAGAAAAATGAAAGTAACATACACAATTTACATACGCAGTCTGCTAAAATACAATTAATGTCATGTTGCTTCCTCCCCTATACCATTATTGCTCAACTCAACACCATTCTTTTTCTAATTTTTTCCCTTCCTGTTTGCTCAGAGAGAAAATATCTTACCTGAGAACTTATTATGGTAGAGGAATTCCATTTGCAGTCTTTGTCCAGCTTTCTTAGCTAATAAGTATGGAGTACTGTAAACAGGATCACCAGTAGCACACATTACATCAGCCCCACTGAACAGCAGCATCAGAGTTTCTAGCACATCTTGCTTAACTACAGCAGCACACAGGGCCTTGTCATACAGAAGGAAAATAAGTAGTATGTTTAAAAGTAGAAAGTTATAGGCAACAAATACTTGTTATTTAGGTAAAAATTCTTTCACATTCAATATAGATCATCCTCATTTTCCAGTTTCATAAACATTGGGAATCAGCAGAAATAATGAATTGTGGTCTACAAAGCAACAAAGAAAAAAAACATCACCCCAAGTCTTGCAAACTTTTGCTGCCACTTGTTTTCCTAGGGCATGCTAACATGAATTAATACAACTGTGGGGACAATTCATTATTTGTTTATATGAAAAATCCTTTCTCTCTCCTCATTTTTCTTCACGTACTAAACTACTAAGGAAAACTACTTATTCCAGACCTCAAAAGTTCAACCGAAGAAACTAGATTTAATTCTTGTACGCTATTAGAAGAAAGCAGGCTGAAATCATGGGTAGTTTTTCAAAGTCAAAGTCACAGTCAGTAAAGCTATCATTCCTAAAGGTATCTTTAGACTTGATGATCTTCTAGATTTAAAGATTTAATCACATCCTACAACATAAAGTTCTTTTTCCTATGCATTAAGACAGAAAAACTTAAAGAAATCTTTTTTTTTTCCTTCTGAGATGTCCCAAAACCTTAAATCTAGCAGTACTTTTGCAATTACAGCAATCTACTCAATAAAAATTTCTACAATTTAAAATTTATTTAAATTACTTTGCTAATGGATGAACTTTCCTGAAATGATTAAGAAAGAAGTCGCTCAAAATACAAATGTCCTAAAATTCAGCTACTCTAATAAACACATTTAGTAGGCAAAAGATAATATGGCAGATAGTTCAGTAGAAGTTCCACAATTACTTATGGTGACTACTTATTACATGGTAATTTCATGTCTCTATAGAGAGTTCCACCATTACATTTCCCAGTAGTTAAATGGTGAAATAGACACTTCTACACCAAAAAAGACTTAAGAACAAAAAATCAAGCTTGTAAACCACAAAGAGCTATTTCTACTTCCTGTAGCCAGCAGTTACAATACAAAAGTCTTGTATAAAGGCTATAAGTTAATAGTAATAATCAATGCAAATGTTTTATTTTTTGAAGACAAATATTCCCCATAAAGGCTAAAAATATTTCCTGATTCCCATGAAATGCAGAAAACCTGAATTCAAAATACACAGTGAGATGATTATATATTTTGACTAGATGCTTTTCAGAGGTGGCAGTATTTCAAATACCTTTGCTTTGACTTCTTATATATATAATAACTCCACTAACATGTTTTTGCTGCAATATTTTTTTTTTTTTTTTTTTTTAATGTGGGACGCTTCTATTTCATAGTATGATAGAATCCTTTGAGTTGAAAGGGACCTCTGAAGGCCATCTAGTCCAACTCCCCCGCAATGAACAGGAACACACAGCTAAAAATCAGCTTGCCTGAGGCCTGATCCAGCCTTGCCTTGAAAGTCTCCATGGACAGGGTATCAACCACTAAGCTAGGTAACCTGTTCCAGTGCCTCACCACTCTTACTAGCTCAAAGCACAATAGCCTTCAAATGATATCGGCTCCCCACAGTCTCTATATATTCTAAGACAATTTCGCTAATACGTAATTGGATGAATTAGCTCTGTAAAATACATGCATTTTTAACTCCCTCATATTCAAAAACCTTAAGCAGTCATGATTGAGATCAGTAGACAATACAAGTCAGCCAAATGGATAAAAAGCTGTGCACAAGTGATAATTAGCATTTTCCACTTAAGGCAATTTACTTGTGTTATTTGTGCAAAAAGAAACATCAGAACTCACATTTTTCATCATTTCATTAATTTTAGCTTATTTCACTTCCAATTAACTACAAGCCAATATGAAAGCATGCATGAGCTACTGCTAACACCGAGCCATCTAACATATTGGTATGATAGATGTCAGACATAATACATTAAAAAACATTAAGAAGGAATCTAAAGAACTGTAGTGGGAATTTTCATCATTGAATTGCACATTTGGAAAAGAAATAGAGATGTGTATATATTGATCACTCTGGAGTACTTATTACAGGTACAACATAAGTACCATAATCTTCAACAAACAAACTGGAAAAGTTATAAGTGACAGAATGACTCTTGCAAAGGCTTCCCTAGTAGGAGTTATTCAGCTCTGCGAAGCTTGTCCCTCAGGATTTTGAATTTGTTTCCTCAGCAGTTTAACAGGATGACTAAAACACACACAAATACAATTCGCTACGAAAGTTATGGTAAGAGCTTATTCATTCTGATGTTACCTTATTCAATTGTTCTTTGGTTTTGTAGGGAAAGGGTGTTTTCCTGAATTTTCCCTCTTTGTACTTTTGTGTAATGAATGCAATCCTTTTTTCTGCAGGGGCATCCATATGCAGCTCTTCATCCGGAGGAAGATTTCCTGCCCAAAAAGTGTTTGCTCTCTTATTCCCAATGATGATAAAGAGCTGAAGTTAAAGAGAAAACAAATATCATTAATGATTCTAAATAGTTTTCAGCTGCTATAAATTAAGGAAAAAAATTGAACCAGAGCAAATTGCCTGCATAAGATTAAATGGAATCCTTTCCCAGTTACTGTGTTAATCTATAAATTAGTAATAAAGCCCATGTCATAATTTTCCAGCAATAGGTACCACAATTAACAAAGCTAACTAGTTACAGTGCTTCAATAAATATTAGAAAATGCCAGTAGAAGGTTAGAGAAGAGTAGCACCTTTTTTTAAAAGAAAATAGCAATAACTCAACTCACTTTAGAAGCATCACTTCTAAACAGTCCAAACACCTAACCTGGTAGTGAGTTTCCTTTCTTCCCTAAACCAATATTGCGCATCATGACAACTCTCCAGAAGTGTTCTTGTTACTTTTCCTCATCCCTAAACCTAGGTGCTTGATACAGACAGTCCTTAAAATAAAATATTTCAAATAACACAAGAGGTACAGTACTCCCAGAAACATTTCATTTACAATAACAGAGGCATATTTTAGCAAGTATGCTTTAAAACTTCTTGTAAGTAAAGTGAAAAACTCTTATTCACATGGTTCCTCTCAAAACTTAAAGAATTGGAATAAGTCAACGTACCTCAATTAGTTCATTGCTCCAAATGCTGGCATCCATTTTTAAACTCCTGACCTTTGAATCTCTTGGTCCTAAAGATCGGTGCTGTCCTAGAAATCCAACAGCATTTTTACTTAACTAAAGCACTTAAACTGAGTTAACTCTTCTTCTGAGCTAAAAAAATTATATATTTAATGAAAGCAGATCTATTTATCATTTTTTAACAATATATATTTTTAGATAGAAAAGCACAAAAGCACACAGAAAAAGGAAAAGAAGGGGGTGAGAGGGAAAAAGGATATGGATTGCACGTGGCACAGAAATAGTCCTCTTCAGGTTACAATTTTGAAATACAAATTTTGTATATTTGATAACAACTAATAAACAAAGGCTCTTCCACATAGAATATTTTGGAAAAGTTTGTTTTGGAGTTATAAAGCACTTCACTGCCTCTAAAGCTTACGCACATACTTAAATTTAAAACATGACAGAAAAAGATTTTACGTAGTATCTGAAAATGCTATCTCTATTGGCAGTGAAAATATGACCTGATGTAATAAATACTCCAAATTTATACACTGCAAATTGTTATCTTTCGGAATGCATCAATGCTAAAACAAATAATTTCCCAACAAGTGCTAGTGTGTCTTGATTTCCATTAATTGTGGAAGATTATTCATCTGTGGGAAACCAATCATCACACAGACTGTCATTTACACATGAAAGTGTTTTAGAATAAGGATATACTTGGTATTAAAACTTCCAAAGGAATGCCATTTCAAAAATAAAAAAGCCAATTCAAGGACATAAACAGATATGCAAATATGACATTTTGTAAAACCCACACAGCCTCTCATTAATTACTCTACCTGCACACTTCTTACAAATGACAACACAGAGATTGATGGATGCCCAATCAGGATTGGGAGCTTTACAGTCAGCACAGCTCCTGTTGGATTCATTGAACCAAATCTTCTCAGCTACTTCATAATCAGACAGAGTTTCTGCTATCGATTCCTGCAGTGCTTCAATCCAGTCTTGTTTCTCTTTTTCCGATTCTGCTGTAAAGCTGAAACAATTGACTTTTCTGCATTATTGATCTTTATTTTAAAGCCCAATTAAACAGAATCTGTAGTTTCTTATTTATTACATTTATATCTGAAATCTCTGTCAAAAAATAGTCCACTACACACATATAAATAAAAATTATTTTTCGTTTTCACCAGTGAAAATTCCCTCAGTCTTTGTTTTGTTATCAATAAAAGCACTGCTAGCATGAGCTACACAGCTTTTATAACACTTGTTATGTTCCTGAGTTACTTTCAATGTTTTTTTTTTTTTTTAAAAAAAAAAAAGGTCAACACATACCAAACAGTCTGATTTTTTCAAAAAAGCTTAGAAACATCTCAATAAACTTTATTAACAAAAGTTACCAAAGAGTAAAAGCAGACGTTACCTAATAGACAAAAATTACCTTCCTTTTAAATTGATCCTTTTGTAAAACAGAAATAATAGTAGATATGATGATGGCTTAGAGAAAATCAAAGATCTACTTATCTACCAACTAGCCACGGACTCAAATCATTGATCAAGACTAATTTACTTGTTCTCTAGGCCACTGAGAATCAAATAACATTGCTTGCATTTCAGCGACCTTTCTCAAGATTAACACTAGAGAACATATACACAGAGAACAAAGCAATTTCTTCTTCTACTGCATTACTAAAGAAAAACCACACATTTAAGAAAAAAAGTTAGCATACACTTTTATTTTCTTAAAAAAATTCATTACAAGTCACAGCATCAGCAAAAGGAAAGTTTTGTACTGATTTCAATGGAAGATTTTTACAAGGGGGAGCACATACTTAATTCTTTCCATTAAAAATAAAATCCTTAATATTAAATGAATGCAGGAGGATTTCACTACTGTAGTTTATCATAAAGATGAAGGAAAGTTTTCAGAGTTTTTATTTTCTTCTGCTTTTGCATAAAATGAAGAAAATGCATTTGTGGACACTGGATGTGTAGTTAGGGAGATAACAGATGAAGAACAAAGTTAAATAGTGGAAAGAAAATTCTTCCATTCTTCCATTTGGTGGAAAGAAAAAAGTGAGCATTCTTAAAAAAATGTTATCTTTTCACTAAACCGGGTTATGTTAGTACCATATGAAGCAATATTTTTCAGCATATTACTTATTTGTATATTTTGTACTTTAACAATATTAATAACATTAGTTATATAACTTAACATTACAATGTTACTATTATCAATATTGAAGATCTTACCTGAAGCTTTTGTAAGGAGTAATTATTTCAAAAGTTTGTTTTGCAGCCCGATCCACTTGTTTTACATTTGCCACATTCATAGGGATTAAGGTGATACCAAATCCTGTCTTAAAGTCCTACGGAAAAGGTAATAAAAGTTTGATTGGTTATTATCCAATAACAAACATGTACAGAAAAATTAAATCAACACGGTCCAAACATCTAAGAAGAGTCATACAAATTTTGGCCACAACATGCAGGCTTCCTCCTAATTCATTAAATAAATCTATATAAAATTATGTTCAAACATTATCCTTGTAGTTGCCAAAATGATATTGTTTGATTGAGAGAAACGCACTGTAACTATTAATTAAAAAAAAAAGTTAAATGACTACATGAAATTGCTGATGGAAATGGAAGAATCTACCTTATATCATACTTTAGTGGTGAGATAATTTTTATAAAACTGTTTCCTTTTCACTAACAGCAGTTTTGACTACTTTTAAATAGACTGATTTTAAGAAAAACAATTACAACTTTCTCTTAAATCTTATTATATGAACTCAGCATCTCAAGCATGTCTTTGAAAAAAGTTCTATACAACCACTCAAATGGACTAGGATTTACTAGTGGTCTAATTCTTAGAAATACTAAGCATGTTTAGCTTAAACCAATTTCTTTTTCCACTGTGAAGCAACATCCTTAAAAATCAATCTTGAATAAACAGTCAGGAAATCACAGCCTCTTTTAAATGGACACATTTTTGAACTATATTTATATATTCTGATCTACTTTGGAAATCACTGGTATTTTTTTCTGAAACTAATTTACATGGTCATCCATTGGCAGTCATCTAACATATAATTCACAAGAGGCAATGGGTACACACAGGAGTTTCCTTCTGACCATCGAGTAGCACTTCTGTACTGCGTCAGTGGCTACGCACTGGCATGGGCTGCCAGAGACATTGAGAGGTCCGCATTTGGAGATCTTGAGGAGGAACCAGGACTTGGATTCTGGTCAACCTCAAAGGACTGAAGTGGACCTGTTCAGGGAACAGGGTGGGAATGGACATCCAGAATTCCCCCTCCAAACTCAACAATTCTGTGGTTTCTAGGAATATTAGCATAATTCTTGGATACATTAACTGCATCAGAAACAAAAACAGAAACTATCTCACTCAACCCCTTACCATCTGCACCATGCTCACCTTGTTACTTCTCACATAACATGTAGCTGACTGTGATCTGAAAAAAAAAAAAATATGCCAAAGTACTGGAGGGGAATAGCTTCAGCAGAGATACCTGCTTGTGAAGAAGCTGTTTTTCTAGTAAAAATTTACCCAAGCTGGCGTCACCAGCAATTTTCTTTTCATGAGATTTTCAAATTTTATAACAGTACTAAAGCTCACATAGAGAGGACACTTCAAAAAACTCTTTTCACTTCATCAACTATTCCAAGGATGAACAAATAAAAAATATCATTTTTAGCTATGACTGGTAAGACTAAATCTAACAGAAGACACAAATAAGAGTTCATGCATTTTAGTGTAAAAAATTATAAAAAGGAATAACTTTTCAATAAGTACTCAAGATTAGCCACTCTTTACATAATCATTTCTTAGATATTTCTGCTTTTCCTTTACTCTCATATCCTGCAGCATTTTTTATTCTTCTCCCTAATCTTCCATCCCTCTCTCATGCAGTTTTTATTTAAGACAATGGTTTTGATGCTGACATATCTGCTTTAGAAGAGAACAAGAGACCAGAGAGCTTTGTGAAGCCTACAGAGTCTCTAATTCATCCTCAAAGACTGGTTCTATGGGAAAGGGCTGGGCATTTAGAGCATGAATTCAACAGCGGACAAGACCAGCAAGAAAAACAAAAACATAAAATAAGGTTAAGAAAAAAAAAAAGAATGGAGAATAGAAAAGTATAGTAGCGTCTTTAATCAACCAAACAACACAGAATGAATAAAAAAACAACCCTTCAGCTTCCTAGAATTAAGTGGTTTGTGCTTCTGAGATGTAAATTGGATGCAGGTTTCAATTACATCTATAATTGGCCTTAAAAAGTCCAGGTAATGAGACTACACTTGTACATTAATAACATCACAACACATTCTTTATTTAATAAGTGCTGAATGACTGCCAGGAAACATAATTTATAGTAGCTTAATATACTCTTATGTCCAGATCAGTTCACTGAAGACAGAAAAGAGCAACAAAGAAAAGATGACTAAAATACGAACTATCGTATTTAGCCAGATCAAAAGTTCACCTAGAACAGAGCATCCCTTTAAGCATTTGCTGCTGGCAATGGTCATAAAAAGAATGTAAATAAGAGAAGGTACACTCACATCTTCCCAAATAAGATTCCAGCAATCTAGGGAATTCCAGCTCAGAAAGTCCATGAAAAATTAGCTACAGTCAAACAATCACACTTAATAGCCATTGACAGCCACATCCGCAAAGAATTTAAACAAATACATGCTTTAAGGCCTCCATAGCATACTTCATAAATTTCTTAACTGTTAATGTCACGGAGTTGATCAGATCAATCTATGTCCGTGACAGGGTCGGCAGGCCTCTGCCCTCCCCCCCCACCCCGGTCCCACAAAAAAATGGGAAGGAAGGAAGGGAGGAAAAGAGCAGCGGCAACAATCTATGGAGGAAAACTTATTTTACTATAATATTGGAATACAAGATAACACAATATATACAATTTAATTGAAATTGAGATTAATAAATCAGACAAGATGAGAGAGAGAGTTCCCGGGACCGATTCAAACCTGAAAAGCTTGGAACGGCTAGGAAAGCACCCTCCAGCATCCACTGCAAGGCAGCAAGAGAGCGCCCCCCCCCACCCGGAAGGGCCAGATCCCGTGACTGCTGTAATGTACAGGGATAGGTAGTTGGAATTGGGAAAGTGACACTTTAATGCCCCGTACACTACATGATGTTTTGATGTGGAATACTGAAACCATAAAAAAAAAAAAAAAAAAAGAAAAAAAAACCATGACAGTTAATCATGCAAAAAGTATTTCCTTTCGAGGAAATGAATTTTGCTATTGCAGAAAGTAAGTAACTTTACTTATCTACCTACTCCTCACTATTCCATCTTGCAAATCTCTATCTTGTGTTTCCTTTAGTCCATTCTATTTCAAGCTCTTTTCAATATCCTATGCAAAACTGCAATTGTGGGGATGTCAAAGGAGCAGGAGCAACATATTCTGCTCAATACCCCAGCTGCCAGCGTTATCCCAGGCCTTCTGGCAGTTGGGCAGCCCACTTGTTGCCTTCACTCAGCCAGCTGCACCCAGCAGCACCCTTTGAGCAAAGAGGAAGCACTCCGCAGACGTCAGAACTCACACACACATTCACTGTAATTACTGCCACTACTGAGCCAGCAAAGTCTGTTGTACTTGAACCCAAGTACACAAAACATAGCAAGCACACAAATTAAATGCACTGAGTCCAAAATCTCTAAGGAGGCACATCAACCCTCCCAAAAACCCCTCAAAAACCCTCCCAAGTAAGTCAACAATCCAATTGAAAATAACTATTCCCACGTTTTAAATTCAGCAACTGTGTAAGAACTGAATTGCAGCATGAGGAAGTGGGAAAGGTTGAGAAATTAGAAGTGAGGAATTTGATTTTCAGCACTGAAGGAGGTGGAAAATTAACCAATTTCATCTGTACGTTAAAGTGAAGTGATTTCTGCAATGGTCCAAACAAACTTTTTTGGTAACTGTCCACTTGGCTTAAACCAGGCTTGGTGAGTGACAGGTACACTGGAATCTAATTTTCACAGTTCAGAATTATATGCTTTCAAGAGCGCAGTCTTGTTCTCTCCTTCAGACACAGAAGTGGGAATTGGTATAGGGAAGAAAGAACTGCTCCACTTCGAAAGATAAATTCATTCATTTTGAGTGCACAGGAGGACAATAGGGCCATTCAAGCACTATACAAAATGTACTGGCAGCAAGACCAAGCTGCATCTTTTTGGAATACGAATTGTTTCACTCCTACACACTGAAAGCTCATTGTTCCAGAAAGATTCAACTGTGTAAGACTTTCTGACAAACAAAGAAAAGTTTATGATTCAAAAAACACAAAGAAAACTTTTCTTTTTTAACTATACATAGAATAGATACAGATATTTAAGATACATCTCAATACATTTGAGCAGAGAAAAAACTACAAGAGTTTCTATAAAATTCTATTTATTTTTAGAAATAGTCATACATCAAATGTATCCACTAAACAGCACAATAAACTGCAGACTGAAAATATTAACAGGGAATGTAGCCAAGTATGTGGAAAGTACTGGCTTTCTGATAACCTGTTGTTCCTTTCTGAAGGAGGAATGATTATAACATGTCATTATCATCCTCGTCTGAAATACACAAAATCTATGAAAACCTAGCTGTACCTAAACTACAAAAATATATAACCCAATTTTTTAGGATACATTTAAAGTGCATATATAAACTGCATGGCAGAGAGCTAAACAGCTTTCTGTTATCTATGATCTTTTCTTAGGCAAAATCTACACTTTTCATGGAAAATTTTATTGGGAGACTTTATTAACATTTCTTTGATTCCATTCTGTATGAGATTCAAGAAGTTTTAAAATTAATCTATTTTTCTACTATATTACCAGTTCCGTTTTATAGACACAAATATACATGAAAGGATCATGAAAGCTTAACCACATTTATGAATAAAATTAGACAACTACATCTAAAGTATAGTTAATTTTCAGAGTTGCTGAACACTTACAACTTCTGGTATGTTGCCTTAAAAAGACAGGCCTAGGCATCTTATGAAATTCTTATAGAAAAAAGAGGTCAGGGGGTTACTCTTCTGGCCCTCAAAGAGCAGGCCTTTTCTACAGAATCACTACTCTTCCCAGAAAGTATAAAATGTGATCCTTTGTGTTCCCTTCCAGTCACTTTTGCAGAAGTAAAACTTGGTCTGGCATGCTTGTTATCTAAAATGATCAAATTTGAATTTATCCAAACATAGAAGATCTAGAGCTGCTGGTGTTCCTTGCCTTTTACTTTTCAGCAATTATATTATCTTTGAGTGCTCTGACTTATACGAATCTAACTTTTCCACAGTGCATGTAGTTGA